TGTCCAACGCAGGCGGCAAAGGAAAGGGCGACCTGGGCACCTGGGACGCCTCGCCAGGACGATGGCGGGTGGCGGATGGATTTCACCGTGGGATTCAACGGTGGATTTTTGCTGGTGAAGTGATGATCAACTCTGGTGATTAATGGTGATTTTAACCACCATTTTCCATCTATCAATGGTGATTACTGGTGATTACTGGTGATTAATGGTGATTAATGGTGATTTTAACCACCATTTTCCATCTATCAATGGTGATTAATGGTGATTAATGGTGATTTTAACCACCATTTTCCATCTATCAATGGTGATTAATGGTGATTAATGGTGATTTTAACCACCATTTTCCATCTATCAATGGTGATTAATGGTGATTAATGGTGATTTTAACCACCATTTTCCATCTATCAATGGTGATTAATGGTGATTAATGGTGATTTTAACCACCATTTTCCATCTATCAATGGTGATTAATGGTGATGGTGATTAATGGTGATTAATGGTGATTTTAACCACCATTTTCCATCTATCAATGGTGATTAATGGTGATTAATGGTGATTAATGGTGATTTTAACCACCATTTTCCATCTGGTGTCAGGAAAAGGCAAGGGTGAGAAAGGAGGATTCAAAGGTAAGGGTGGAAAGGACTACTACAGTCACAAGGCGCTCGTTTGGGCTCGTTTGGTGCGCGGTGCCAGCATCCACGGGGAATGAACTGACCAGCTACGCATAATGTGTGTGCGTATATTATTATATATATTATATGTGATGTATATTGATATGTATTTGCGGTAATAACTATAGTTCTGCGATAGACATAATCTGTATGTATATACACCCTTGTAGTGCATCAATTTGTACAATATACATATATACATATATGATTATATACATATATCCATATATACATATATAAATATCTGCATATATACCTATATACCTATATCCACATATATATATATATATACATACATACATACGTATATACATAGTTATACATATAATACACATATACGTATATACGTATATACGTATATACGTATATACATATATACATGCATCCTCGAAAAAACACAAATAAATGCTCATTTGAGAGATTTCTGCTTTTTGAGCGGTTTTTCTCCACATGAGCGTAATTGCACCACTTTAGGCATTTTTGCACTTTGTGTATTTTGAAGCCAAAATTATAAGCGTATTTTGCCGGGAAATGAGCGTAAATACCCGGGAAAAAAACGTAAATGCCCGTCCGTCAAGAAACAAATGCGCGTTTTCTGGTTCAAGTGAGCATAAAAAGTCAGAACGAGCGTAAATCCAAGCGAAAACTGCTATGAGCAGAAAAAAGTGCTAAGTGAAGATCCAATACATACATATATAATTATATATATATATATGTATGTATATACATTGTGTATAATATATGTGTGTACATTTCATTTCAGAGTGTAACACATATAGCGTTTTTAACATGTACACAGCTTTTATTTCAAGCATTATCTATAGCGACGGACAAATACTTAGAACATCATTTGGAAAAAAAATCTGAAAATCGTCACAGCGGGGATGTTCTAAGTATTAAGTCGTTAGAACATACCCAAAACCTATACTTAGAACATTTCCAAGCTATACTTAGAACATCCCAGTGGGGAACCAATAATGAGGCATCTCCAAAACATTCAAAATTATACATAATTCATTTTAGCTCATTTTAGTATTGAAACCTATGCTTTTTGACTACCCGCTGTAGGAAACCCACAAATTATATACTAGAGACCTTCCCATTGCAGCGAAGACTGCTTGGGATATTGTTCCCGAAGAAAAGGTATAGAATGCTGCAGCAGTGAGGGGAGAAAGTGTTCTAAGTATGGTGTTCACCAAGGTATTTGTGTGTATATATGCAGATTTACCAAAGTAACAGGACATGTTCTAAGTATATGTGTGTTTAATGTTCTAAGTATGCAAAAAATCAAAGGAGATGTTCTAAGTATCTGTTTTTCTGATGTTCTAAGTGCGTACTTAGAACATTTCTGATGTTCTAAGTGTAGTTGTTTTGATGTTCTAAGAAAAGGTTCCGAAATTTTGGAAAAATGTGATGTTCTAAGTATATGTCCGTCACTATACAGTGTTATCAGGCCATCAAGGTTTGACCGTTAAAAACGCCCGCCCGTTAGGGAAAAGGAAAAGGTAAGGATGGCGGCGGAGGCACGGTGTAGCCACCGGTGGGATCCCCAAAACTGGTAAGGGATGACCCTGTTGATGTCAGGGGGATCCCACTTGGCATGTTGAACGCTTCATGCGGCTAGTCATTTAATTGCCAGTATGCCAAAGTACTAAGTATTATGATGATCCCAGCATGGATCCCAGCATGGTGACTCAGTCTACCCAAGTTACCCTTTTTGTTGGGATCTACATCCATCTACAGCCATAGTTTGGTGAGATCCCGCAATGCCAATCCATGGGCTTTGGGGAGGTAAAGGACCGCCATCCAACATGCATGGAGGCTCAGGGAGTGACGTCAAAAGTCAGCTGTTTGGGACCACAATGTTTGAAGATTTTCAGCATCTACCACCATCAATGGATTGGTTTGTTGGGGAAAATCTTAACCGGAAACCATCGATTTTCCAATTGAATATGGGGCTTTCCTGTAAGTTTTCCCTTAAACCAATCCATTGACACGCAGATTTTGGGGTAGACCTGTACCTGATTTTGGTCCAGCTGTCAATTCGCAATGGACCGCCATTTCTAGGGTCCATTGATACCTTCTTGACAAAGCCAGCCATGGTGATGAAATCAGCGAATTGTATGGTACAGTACCTCCATTTTAGGATCCTGAAATTTCCATTGATCTTTTGCCATTTGCAAGATGTTGAAAAACGAGAGCACACTTGCGGTGAGCAAGTACTTGTCAATGCGCAACAACTACCTGTGTATATGCAAATATAGTGTGCACACACCCACATATATAATATATATATATATATATAAATATATATATAATTATGTATAAATACGCCCAGGATGGGGCCCGGGGGTGCTGCCCAGGGAAGTGTTTTTTTTGACTGCGCAGGACCAGTGATAAAAATGCATTTTGGGATGTCAGAGGATTGGCTAAATGACTGACGAGATTTGTTTTCAAAACATAAAACCTAAAACCGTAAACCCTTCAGGGGTCATTAAATGTCCCCATTGAACATCACCCAACCATTAGGTAATATGGTCTATAATGGCTACTATAAGGTGATGTCCAATATACCCAAAATGGGACATTTACCAATCCCTGTACATCCTAAAACCAAAACCTGATATGACACCCCAAGTAAGATTTGAACATACAATATTATTCAAACCGTGGTAATAATAACCTTAAAAGCCCTACATGAAGCCCTAAATAAACCCTAAGCAAACTCTAAAGAGTTGGTCACATGATAAACCTCGACTCTGGGTGGCACCTATGGCCTGGGTTTATATATAATATTATATTATATATATACAAACATAAAAACTATGATCATCCTGAAGTAGATAGACTATGGATTTTTCAATAAACCAGTTGAGCCAAGGTCCACAGGAACGCCCCTGCAGCCCGGGACCGTGGCGTAGAGGCAACGTTGGATGAGTTGGGTCTGCAAAATTCAAGGGAAAACCTCGGAAAAGCCTTCAATGTCATGGCTTTTCACCCTCTGGTTATGTCAACATAGCTATTGAAAATGGCCATAGAAATAGTGGATTTTCCCATGAAACATGGTGATTTTCCATAGTTATGTTAGTTTACCAGAGGGTAACTCAATTTTCCCCATCAAAATTGTTCAAAATTGCAATTTTTGGGGTGTTAAGTTTCGATTTTCACACACACTCACTTGGATGTTGATGGTGTTTTTAGCCCTGCCAATCTTGAGCGCAGGGTCTTGGCAGCATATGTCCATCTTCCGTGGCGCAGGGGTGGATCAACAGTGAAGCTTCGGTTTAGTTCTTAGACTGAGCGAGTTTCACCCAATAAGTTGCCCTTCGGGGCGGGTGGTGTCAGCCATAGAACCTCGATGAAACTCGTGGCAAGTTGCGATGGAAATGATGTGGCGGGCTTTGAAGGGTGGAAACGCAGTACTCAGTACTCCCTTGGTCTGGTTTAGGAGAATATCTGGGATGATTTAACCTGGATCTCCAAGGGAAAAATCATCGGGTGATGTACCAGGTCCAATCGATAAATTATAGATGGGAGGATTGTTTATCAGAGAAGATGTTTTTTGGGGAGTACAGTGTACATCTCCATCCGAAGATCTATTTTCAGCACAGGATCCTCAACACAATGTCTCCAAGGACTCCTTTGTGTCAGCTGCAAATTTGCTTGGCATTCCGTGCTGGCTTTCCCATGACGTGGATCCCATTGGATCCGGCTTCGCCGTCGCCCACCGCAGACATCTGAAGTTACAAATCATGGTGAGAGCGGCTCGGGTCTGAAGTCCGACCCCCCGGATGATGGATGGAGTGAAGCTTGGTCAAGCTTGTCGATGAGAGGTAGACATCTATTAGAAAACACGGATATATATATATATATATATGGATAGATTAGATATGGAAACACCATGAAAGACCATGTTTTCTTGAGGACATGGGATTTATTTTTCGGATTTTTCATTAGAGTGTTTCCACATATATCATATTGCTAGAAGAAGATTCAGCCATCTTGTTGATTGCTATAGAAGCCATTCCATCGCTGCATGCAGCGATACTGGCGCCCATGGCCCAGCCCAGGTCGCTGCCGGGCCTTTTTTTGAAGTGAACGAGGCTGGGATCATCGAAGCTTCAAGTCTTAGGCTTGCGGGGTCAATATGGGTTGTTTTCATTTAGAGTTCTTTATTTCGCAAGATTTGAGAGCTGGGCTAGGGCAGCAGAGATTTTTGGAGCTTCAGCGTCACTACGCAAAAAAAATTGGATGCAACAGTATGACCAGCAAAACTGGAGTATGGCTGAATGGCTTAATGACTTGCACATCAAATATATCAACATATATGATATATATGGGAACTTCTCAAGCATGAACCATTCGACCTAAGACTGGCCACACCCAACCAACTGCCCATGCCTCGGCTTGTGACCTGGGGGGCTGGGAAGCTGAGTTTCGAGGGATTTTCATGACATTTGAAGCTCTTTCAGGTGCGTTTTGAAAAAGAAGATCGTCCTTCAGTGATTTCAAACATCAACGGAAAATAGATGGAAACGACTCACAATATACTATAATATATATAACATAACTTATAACATATATGATTATAGCATATTATAGGATATTATACGGTTATACGTATATATCATAACAATGAACATACATAGAATGAACATGAGAAGCTGATAGAATATGGCTGGTATCCCAGCAGACGTGAAACAAACTCATCCAGGTGATGAGAGGCAGTATGAATCGAGAAGCCGAAGCGCCTTCGGCCTCAGGCTCAAGGACACGGACGTCCGTCAAAAAGGTGGGTAAATCATCAAAAATATGTGGTTAAAACAATTATAAACCAATCATAAACCATCCCCCAGTCATCACCATTTTTATGGGTGGTATAAACCATAATGATTTTACTAGAAATTTGTTTGATTGGATTTGAACACTGCGATTTTTTTTAATCGAAAGCTTTAATCAGTGTTTTTTGTTCTCTTGATTTATCCAATTGTCCCCACTTGAATCTTGGTTGTTGGGAGCAACCCAGTAAAATGATTCAAATGATAAAACATGATTCAAGTCATAAATTATTTTTAGATTTACGGGTATGGGTCAGAATTTAGTGTGCCCAGCACACTGCATATTCTGGTCATGTTATGCAATGTTTTTATGTTATCTACATACTTTTGGGGTATCCAATTGTGAACAAAAAATCCATAGGTCAAAGTTGTGGGATTAGATGACAACACATTGGATGGTCATCAAAAATACTTTAACCCATCAATATACCATACCACATATACTATCTAATTTTGACCTATCCTTTCCTTTCTTGGTATACCATAGACCATTTACACGATGTATTGACCTATAGATGGTATATTGATTATTGACCCATTGCTGATTGACCAAAGATCGGTATACCATTATTAACCAGACTCATGATCCACCATCATATTGACCCATGAAAGTCATCTATATAACATTATAGAGTCTCATATGATATATGTTTTCTTTCTTTACACGCAACTTACACGGAAGCCCAATGATGGGAACCCCATTCCAATTATCTTCCCGTACGCAATGGGGCTTTTGGGAGTCGTATGGGAGTCGTATGGGAATGGAGCTCCTATCAGCTCGGGGGTACCCATAAATCTCCATAAGTTGAGGTTTCATGAAATGGAGGGTACCCCTAAATAACCCGTTGCAATAGGATTTTTCCATCATGAACCATCCAGAATTTGGTACCTCCATTTATGGAAATCCTCATATATTAGATCATATATTAGATAGGGATTGGAAGATTAGTCTCCATGAATAATTGGTTGTTTTCAGGGTCTATCTAAGTTTACCAGAGGGTGCATGTGTATATATATATTATATTATAATATATTATATATAATATATATATAATATATATATATATGTGTGGGTAAATTATAGTGGCCTCACTGGAATCATGGTTAGGATTTGGGGAATCATCCCCAAATGGCCTTATTTCAGCTCTTTCGCTCGGGGGGGTGGCTGGGAGTCCGAAACAAGTGGTGTGGCCTTATTTCAGGTTATATAGTGAAGGTTAGTGGAATATTATACTTTACCAACATATACATAATATATATATATATATATCATGATATATCCATTCCACTAACCTTCACGAATTATCTGGGTACCACCTATACCCATTAGTCGCAGGAGGAGAGCCGGAAGCTGCCCACCTCAGGGTCGAACGCCTCCAGGTTGGATCATGGGGATATCATGGGGATAAATCATGATAAATCTAGATCTACAATATATAACGATATATATATATACATATATATATCATGAACTCTATAATTATATATATATAACTATACATAATTATATATAATTAACACTATGATTCATGATCGTTTTTTTTTTTAAACGGCCATTTTTAGTGCTGTCGAAATGCTGGTTTGACCATGGGGATTCTGGGTAAATTTCATCACGACCTTCACTGCGACCGAAGCCTGGAATCATGGTTAGGATTTGGGGAATCATCCCAAAATGGCCGCAAGTTTCTCGTTAGTGAAATATACTATAATTTACCCAGATGTTATATCATTCTATGGTGGCGTAATGGTATGCAATTAATCAACCTCTTGTAATGATTAAGGTGTGTCTGAAAATGGGGTATATACCCCCAATACATTGGCATGTCAACAAGTGAAATTATGCTAAAACGATTTGGGAAGATTTGGGAAGTACCCCATTTTCAGACAAAACCACATGGCAAAATGTCCGAGATGGATGACCAACGGTGCGGCAAGTCAACAAGTGTGGACTCAACAAAGATTTTTGCACACCCAAATAGAATCAAACAAGTGATTAGGCAGCATCTTTCGGAACAAAACAAAGTTCTTGCCCATGTCCACTCAAGTCTCACATCCTTTGTGGTATCAGATCTGCGATTCATCAGGTGTCAAACACAGCTATTTACCCTCTGGAAATCAAACGTGGCAATGGACAATTGCTTCTTTATGGATGATTTTCCCATTTACATCTCCACGTATAGGTGAAATTCCATTGCCATCTTTGATTACCAGAGGGTACATCATGGTACATCTATTTTTCTGCTTGGTATTTGGGGTCAACAACTTCCCCAAACTTTGGCTGGATGAGCGTTGCACGTACTCGTATGACTCGGCGTTGTGAGAATTGTGGAAATCTAGTGGAAAATCCCATCCATGATAGTTATTCACCCATGATTATGAATTATATGTGGTTTTTTGGCAATGATCAGATCAGATGATCCCAAAAAAAAAGGTGAATCATGGTGAATCCCACCCCCACCATGCCAATTGCTAGGGATTTACACATTTCTTTGGGACCATAAGGGGGGATGTTTTCCATAAATACGGGGCATGGGATTCATGGATGACCCGTGTCCAGGGAAGATCAGCATGTTCCCTGGAAATGGATGATGGCAAAAGCTGTAAACCCTATATACTTATCATATCTTATCAATCTTCTTGGCCATTGCTGATGTTTTCTTTGTGTGGATATTCCCTTCTTTATCAATCCGTTGTTGACATTTTTTTTTATATAGCCACATTGTTGTGTCCCCCCACAGTTCTGTTTGTTGCTTTAGTTCCACCCTGCTTACGTCATTCGACGTAAGCCGCGCCATCGAAGCCATCCACGTCAGGCCCTACGATCAGTTCGGCCGCGCGCAATGCGATTCGCAGTGGCCTTGTTGCTGCGTCGGAAGCCCGAGAACTGTAGAGCAATAGGATCCACCCCAGTCATCGGCATTAAAGTATAGGTGGTATATACCTGGTATACGGGTTATTAACGGTGGTATACGGATGTATACAGCAACTATCAAAATATGGATGGTGAAGGTTGATTATTGCTTTACTATGCTTTAGTATGAGTGATAAAAGAATCCTGCACTCCAGTGGATATGTTAGGGATGCAGTGGTTTACCTTTTTAAGGCAGCCCTGTGATGAAAGCAACCAGGTTCTAGCTTGGATCTGTCCGAGTCATGCGCTTGGATAGATGTTTGGTGAACATGGTCCCCCAAAATCATCAAAATTCAGTGCATTTGGTGGAAAACGGAGGAAATCTGCAAGACAGCCTCCATATTTGATGGAAAAAAAACAGAGGTTTCCAGCAGTCTTCCCCCTAAGCAACGTGCCATTGACTCCATTGACGGTTGAGGTCACAGTTTCGGGGAACAGAGCTCAGTGGCTGGCCACTGGTGGGGGGCCCTGGCGTGTATAGGGTCTGGGGCAGGTTGAATCAGCCCTCTAATATCAAGAGAATTATTTTTTTGGCTTTAATTAATAATTATATTTGTGTTTATACATGTGTGTATTTGTATATAATCTCTCAGATATTATTGGGCTTTTCTTTAAGAAGCCACAGCCTGTGCATGATGTTTGCTGCAGCCCTATGCTCAGAGTAGGTTTCACCTCCCGCTATGGTGTGACATTTGCTTTCTTAGTGAGTGACATCAGCTCCTTCAAGGTAATTGCAGTATGTATATACGTATATATATATATATATATGTGTGTCTGTGTGTCTGTACAATTATAGAAGTGTTTATGCATGCATATAAGTATACACATGATTATACCTGTATTATTTTCACAATATGCTTAAAACTGTAAAACAACGGGGAATCTTTGTTACCCCAAACATCCCTGGGTACGACCTGGGTACGACCTGGGGTCGATCCCAGGCTGCTGGGTTAGGAAGCAACATCACTGCGCGCATCATTAGTACAGGCGGACCATGGATGGGAGAGGAAGTGGTGCTGAACGTAGGGTTGCTGGATGGGTTGCTGGGGGTTGCTGGGATGATCTGCTTGATAGTTAGCCTTAGTGGATCAGCAACCCGAAATTTCCCTGCGTTTAGCACAGCACCAGAAAGTTAACCATCACGATTATCGTCGCATGATGTGGGTGTAAGATGGCAAGAAAGGCAGCCACCGAAAAAATGACTGACAGCTGATGCTTGGTGTTTCCTTTCTTGCTTGATTTTTTTTTCAACTGGAATCAGCCCTGGCCCAACTGTGATGAGCTTGTAATATGGTCAACATCAACTAGGACAAAGCCGGTTATGATTAATGATTTATATTCATGATGATCAGTTCCTAGTTGGGATGCCATATGATAGGTTGAAAGTCATATTTTTATCATCAAGTTATGATTATCATTCTCATTCCAATGATTATTTGTCATTTATCGTACAGATAAAACCAATACATTTGCTGATAACTTTTATCATCAATCTACATTAATGAGCAATTTATCTCTATTTATAATGATTGATATGATCTACAATGATACTGGAGCCATTTATTGGTCTTCTTTATCTATAGGCTCAGTGGGTCGTGGCTCAGCGATTGTTGGCGCCGCCAGATCGTGGCAATATTGACCTGAGTCATCGTTGCTCGGTCTGTCGGGTTTTGGTCGGGAGGTTGGGACGAACTTGGGATTTTCGGAGTCTGTTCAGCGTGTATAGCCCCTAGTTTAGGCCAGTTTCATAGGATGAAAACTATGGGAAAACTATGGGAAAACTATGATGAACCAGCAGATCTTATTTTTTTATTATTTTTTTCCCATAGTTTTCCGAGAACTCCCATCCTCAGTCAACACCTCACGCAAAAAGCCTCCCAAGGCCCGCCGGGAGTTCCAGGGACTCTACAGCTGACTGCGACCCAGCTGCAAGATCTTGGAAGCGTAATCTGATTTACACATATGAAATTCCATAAATGGGGGTACCCCCAAATGGATGGTTATAAGGGGAAATACCATTAACATTCATTAAAATGGATGATTTTGGGGTACCCCTATTTTAGGAAACCTCCATATAAATAGCATATAAACGATTTAAATACCATATGACTCCCATTAATAAATACTAATACAGTTATACATCACATTGATTCTCATGCATAATTTACCAGTAGTACCCGCACGAGGCGGGGCGGAAGTTGCCTTAAAGATATATATAAGACCTTTCTTATCTATAGAACTTGCATGCGCCGTGCGCCAGCCAAGCCGTGCGCGCGTGCACTCTGCGAAAGTTGTGTCTTGTTTCACATGTCACATTTGAAGCTCCACTTCGCACTTCGCACTTCTCACTGCAGTCTTCACACTCCACACTGCACACTTCACACTCCACCCTTCACACTGCACTCTTCACACTGCACCCTTCGCAGTCAACACTTCACTTCACACTGTACTCTTAAGACTCCACACTTCACACTTCACACTTCACACTCCACACTTCACACTTCACACTGCACTCTTCGCACTCCAAACTTCACACTTCACAGTCCACACTTCACACTTCTCACTTCTCACTGCTTCCTTCACACTCCAAACTTCACACTTCACACTGCACTCTTCACACCCCACACTTCATCTCATCTGAGCTCTTCGCACAAAGCAACCTTGACGCAGCCATTACAATGCGATCTGCAGAGACTGAGTTGCAAAACACAATATAAGAACTACACGCAACAGCGTCGGCAATAGCAGCTCCAAAACCGGATCTCGACGCCAAAGCAGAAAAAAGACGATTTTGAAGCACTTTTTAAAAGGATTTTTAAAAGGAAAATTAAGAGCGCCAAAATTGCGAAAATCTGCTGACAAATCATTATCGCAGCCTGGATGCAGCCACTCCAATACCATTTACGAGATCTAGCTGCAGAAGACAATAGTATTGCGCAGCATCAATCAACATTCATGCAGCCATTTCCATGCGATCTGCAGAGACTGAGTTGCAAAACACACTAGAACTACGCGCAACAGCGTCGGCAATAGCAGCTCCAAAACCGGATCTCGACGCCAAAGCAGAAAAAAGACGATTTTGAAGCACTTTTTAAAAGGATTTTTAAAAGGAAAATTAATAGCGCCAAAAGTGCGAAAATCTGCTGACAAATCACTATCGCAGCCTGGATGCAGCCACGCCAATACGATTTACGATCTTCAGCTGCAAAAGACAATAGTATTACGCAAGCAGCCGCAGCACCAAGCAACATTCATCGCTGGCTGCAGCCACTTTACACTGAAAAACACAAGGTTTTGTGCTCCGGCTTCCTCCCCAACACAAAGCCCATGCAACATCATGCAGCCATTCCAATGCGATCTGGCACCACAGCTTCAAGAAACGCATAGAACTACGCACACAGCAACAAGCATTGTTGCAAAACACATAGAAGGAACCAAACGACCCCAGCCGCAACCGTCGCACAGACGAAGTAGCTTTCATCGCCGGCTGCAGCCACTTTACACGGAAAAACACACGGTTTCGTTCTCCGGCTTCCTCCCCAACACAAAGCCCATACAACATCATGCAGCCATTCCAATGCGATCTGGCACCACAGCTTCAAGAAACGCATAGAACTACGCACACAGGAACAACCACTCGTTGCAAAACACATAGGAGGAGCAATTCGCGACAGAAACGACCGCAGCCGCAACCGCCGCACAGACGAGGTACCTTTCATCGCCGGCTGCAGCCACTTTACACGGAAAAACGCACGGTTTCGTGCTCCGGCTTCCTCCCCAACACAAAGCCCATTCAACATCATGCAGCCATTCCAATGCGATCTGGCACCACAGCTTCAAGAAACGCATAGAACTACGCACACAGGAACAACCACTCGTTGCAAAACACATAGGAGGAACAATTCGCGACAAAAACGACCCCAGCCGCAACCGCCGCACAGACGAGGTACCTTTCATCGCCGGCTGCAGCCACTTTACACGGAAAAACACAAGGTTTCGTGCTCCGGCTTCCTCCCCAACACAAAGCCCGTGCAACATTCATGCAGCCATTCCAATGCGATCTGCTACCACAGCTTCAAGAAACGCATAGAACTACGCACACAGGAACAACCACTCGTTGCAAAACACATAGGAGGAACAATTCGCGACAGAAACGACCGCAGCCGCAACCGCCGCACAGACGAGGTACCTTTCATCGCCGGCTGCAGCCACGTTACACGGAAAAACACAAGGTTTCGTGCTCCGGCTTCCTCCCCAAAACATAGCCCGTGCAACATCATGCAGCCATTACAATGCGATCTGCCACCCCAGCTTCAAGAAACGCATAGAACTACGCACACAGGAACAACCACTCGTTGCAAAACACATAGGAGGAACAATTCGCGACAGAAACGACCGCAGCCGCAACCGCCGCACAGACGAGGTACCTTTCATCGCCGGCTGCAGCCACTTTACACGGAAAAACACAAGGTTTCGTGCTCCGGCTTCCTCCCCAAAACAAAGCGCATGCAACATTCATGCAGCCATTACAATGCGATCTGCAACCACAGCTTCAGGAAACGCATAGAACTACGCACACAGGAACAACCACTTGTTGCAAAACACATAGAAGGAACCAATCGCGTCCGGAACGACCGCAGCCGCACCCGTCGCACACACGAGGTACCTTTCATCGTCGCCTGCAGCCACTTTACACGGAAAAACACAAGGTTTCGTGCTCCGGCTTCCTCCCCAAAACATAGCCCATGCAACATTCATGCAGCCATTACAATGCGATCTGCAACCACAGATTCAAGAAACGCATAGAACTACACACAGGAACCATCATTGTTGCAAAACACATAGAAGGAACCAAACGACCGCAGCCGCAACCGCCGCACACACGAGGTACCTTTCATCGCCGGCTGCAGCCACTTTACACGGAAAAACACACGGTTTCGTGCTCCGGCTTCCTCCCCAAAACATAGCCCATGCAACATTCATGCAGCCATTCCAATGCGATCTGCCACCACAGCTTCAAGAAACGCATAGAACTACGCACACAGGAACAACCACTTGTTGCAAAACACATAGGAGGAACAATTCGCGACAGAAACGACCGCAGCCGCAACCGCCGCACAGACGAGGTACCTTTCATCGTCGGCTGCAGCCACTTTACACGGAAAAACACAAGGTTTCGTGCTCCGGCTTCCTCCCCAAAACATAGCCCATGCAACATTCATGCAGCCATTCCAATGCGATCTGCAACCACAGCTTCAAGAAACGCATAGAACTACGCACACAGGAACAACCATTGTTGCAAAACACATAGAAGGAACCAAACGACCCCAGCCGCACCCGCCGCACACACGAGGTACCTTTCATAGCCGGCTGCAGCCACTTTACACGGAAAAACACAAGGTTTCGTGCTCCGGCTTCCTCCCCACAACACACGGCATGCAACATTCATGCAGCCATTCCAATGCGATCTGCAACCACAGCTTCAAGAAACGCATAGAATTACGCATACAGGAACAACCATTGCTGTAAAACACATAGAAGGAACCAAACGACCCCAGCCGCACCCGCCGCACACACGAGGTACCTTTCATCGCCGGCTGCAGCCACTTTACACGGAAAAACACAAGGTTTCGTGCTCCGGCTTCCTCCCGAACACAAAGCCCATGCAACATCATGCAGCCATTCCAATGCGATCTGCCACCACAGCTTCAAGAAACGCATAGAACTACGCACACAGGAACAACCACTCGTTGCAAAACACATAGGAGGAACAATTCGCGACAGAAACGACCCCAGCCGCACCCGCCGCACAGACGAGGTACCTTTCATCGCCAGCTGCAGCCACTTTACACGGAAAAACACAAGGTTTCGTGCTCCGGCTTCCTCCCCAAAACATAGCCCATGCAACATTCATGCAGCCATTCCAATGCGATCTGCAACCACAGCTTCAAGAACCGCATAGAACTACGCACACAGGAACAACCACTCGTTGCAAAACACATAGGAGGAACAATTCGCGACAGAAACGACCCCAGCCGCACCCGCCCCACAGACGAGGTACCTTTCATCGCCGGCTGCAGCCACTTTACACGGAAAAACACAAGGTTTCGTGCTCCGGCTTCCTCCCCAAAACAAAGCCCATGCAACATTCATGCAGCCATTCCAATGCGATCTGCAACCACAACTTCAAGAAAAGTCACAACTTCACCACTTCCCTTCCTCACCGCTTCCCATCGTCACCACTTCCCATCGTCACCACCTCCCTTCGTCACCGCTTCCCTTCCTCACTACTTCCCTTCCTCACCACTTCCCATCGTCACCACTTCCCTTCGTCACCACTTCCCTTCGTCACCACTTCCCTTCGTCACCACTTCCCATCGTCACCACTTCCCTTCGTCACCACTTCCCTTCGTCACCACTTCCCATCGTCACCACTTCCCTTCGTCACCACTTCCCATCGTTACCACTTCCCTTCGTCACCACTTCCCTTCGTCACCACTTCCCTTCGTCACCCTTCATGTACTCTCACACCACCCTTCATGTAAAGTCTCACACCACCCTTCCTCAAGGTCAAGTCTCAATGTGATGTATTGTTATGTCATGAAAAGTCTCACACCACCCTTCATCAAGGTCAAGTCTCAATGTGATGTATTGTTATGTCATGTAAAGTCTCACACCACCCTTCATCAAGGTCAAGTCTCAATCGCGCACCACCCTTCATCATTTCAAGTCTCAGAATTCTATTTGTCCGTAACACGGAAATATTGCTTCCCAACTTCCTTTGATAATACATAATCCCTTTCCCTGTTCATATAAAAAACACCCCCCAGAAACATCCCTGTTCTAGGGCTGGTATGACCATTTCCTAAGAATTGGATTGGATCAGCGGACTTCAGGATGGTAGTTCGATGATCTTCTCCAGATATTTTCTGCCTGCCTGCTGTCCAGTTTTTTGATGCATGAATTGGTGGTTACAATGAAAAATTATGACAATTCGTGAATGCTATTTAGTGGATAAGAGCTAGTAGTGGACGACTTGACAATCTTTATTTAACATTGAATCATGTTAGTGGACAATGGTAATAACAATACGAGTAATAGTAATGATAAGTGTCAATAAATGATAGTATATAAGAGTCGTAGTAGTAGTAACAACAATAATGATAACTGATAATGATATCAGCAGCATTCGAGGGACTAGATAAAAACTGGTCAATCTAGGTTAAAGCGAGGAATGACCGCGGCTGGTTGGGAGTGAACTAAATGTTTAGAGCACTTGAACAGTAAGAAACAGACCCCTGTTGAACCTGTTGGTTGATTATTATATGGGTTTATACTATCCAAATCCGGAATTTCTCACAATCCAGTTTTGGACATCCACAGTTACTGGCCAGCTTAAAGGGACATCCATTTCGGGTTTTGAACGCTGCTCACCTGATAAAGGTCATGGTGATTGTCGGAGTCCAACCTGAATGGGTCCATCCCATGGCAAGTGATAGGAGTTTAAGACTCGTTGTATTTCATGATCGTATATTCCATGAAAAAATCCATTGCTGCATATCTCCATTTCAAAGGCTTGGTATGATTGTAAATTTGTAAACTGGTTGGAATTTTACAATATGCTATATATGATCATGGGATATCATGGGATATCATGGGATATCATGGGATATCATGGGATACAATGATACAATAATTCATATCCCCAGTTCACTTTGGCAAACTTCAATTCAATCCCCATGGGAAAATTTACAGGACCATCCCCGGGCACACCCCATAATTCATAGCTATAAGACAAAGATGTTGAAACATGTGTAGATTTTCTAAACCAATCCGTTGATAAATAAAAAACAACATGTTTTACATTATTGTATTGGCCAAAAGGGAAAATCAACAGGAAACTAATTTGGACTAACCTCGAAGAGTTCCTCCAACTTTCTGCTAAAATGTTCCACCAATTCGGGAAATAGCATTATAAAAAGTGGTTAAACTCCTATCCTATCCCCATAATTTTTGGTGAATTTCCGTCTCGATGGATCAATCCCCAGCATAAACAACCATCCCTGGATGGTGAATGGAGGCAGCCGTTGTTGGAGCAAATGGGCCTGAGTTTCCCAACCACATGATAGATATCCACATTTGGTTCCTATACATCCCATGATAAATCAACAAGAATCTTGGCGATATACCCCAATGACCCGTTCTTTAACGGTTTGCTCGCTGGAAAATCACCATGTTTTATAGCTAAATGTGTGTCATCATGTTTATCATTTATTTCTAAGGATCATGTCTTCAGTAATTCTGTGAAATCACCAGATATATCAAGATATATCACACTACCATGTTTGATGGTTAAAACCCATGATAACAATGATGATGAATAGATTAGTTGGCCTCTCGCTGTGCCGCTCAGGTCTTGGTTCCCGTCTTGCTCAACACGCCTAGACGGACTCAAGAAGATGTGGCAGGCCATGGAGATAATCCCTCCAGAAATCCATGGTGGGTTGATGATTGATTTTGGAAAAGAACAGGTGATACTACCCGGTTGATTGGGATTCCCCAACCATGAAAGCTGTCGTGATGGTGATGGTGATGGTGATGACGGCGACTTACGTACTCATCATCTTATGATGTACTGTAGGCGCTGGAAAGTGCATGGATTCGATGCATACATGTTATTATGTTTGGGGAAGGTAAATTTCTCCCATCGTTGATGTACGGAGTTCCAGGGAAAACTTCCCGGGTAAATGTTGATGTGCGTTCCGGCAACATCAGTACCAATCATTACCAATCCATCCCACAGAAACATGTATAATCCCATATAACTGCGCACATACACATGGTCATATCTATATATATATAGATATTATAATTATATATATAATTATATAATATATATATATATATATTATAAACATATATAGATGTACGTATGTATTAATCAACGTGTTTTGTGTTTTGTTTTGAGTTTTTTTTTCAGGGCACCTGCACCAGGTATTGGAACCACCTGGACCTTGGGTGATGCTGAGGCCTGGATTTTGTGGAGCTACATTACTGGGTTTTAACCATTGAAAATGGTGATTTGATGAGGATCTAGTGAGATCTAACTGGGATATAACCAGCTCACTATACGATTTCTGTTGATAATTGCCTTGTGTAATCAATCAAACAGTAACATTGGCTCGGAAATGCCATCATAGCCATGGGCATTTGAACGGGAACATCATCTATCAATGTGGGATTTTCAATTGTCATAGTTGATTATACTAGTAAGGTACATATCTTCGTTTTTTTTCAATGGCCCCCCTGGCCCGTCAAAAAAAGGTGCGTCTTTTTCCAGCGTAGAAACCCGATTACCCGGATTGATAGGGCTCGGCAAAGGGTGGGGCTTCTGTTCCCATTTCCCATTTCCATGAATCACATCCAGAAGTTCCGTGTTTCTACCCACATTTCATTTCGATGGATTCAATGTTTCATATGTTTCCCAACTTCGTTTGCACGCCAGATCTGATAGAAAAATTTAGAAAACATGGATCAGTTTCATTCAATTTCTATGATCATGTTGCCTTTTTATTGGTTTCATTCATCAATTTATTGATTTCTTGAGCCATGCCCGTTTCAAGATCATTCAAGATCCACTTGGCCGGACTGGGTTGTGCCAGATTAGTGTGCAGCCTGAGATTTTATCCAAGTTGAAGTGCCTTGGCTTGCCATGGGGCATCGTTTGGGTATGGGTCAAAATAACAGTTTCTAGTATGAATCATCCCATTTTGTGGGTACCAAATTTCGACTACCGGCCAGACCCATTGGAAATCAGTGCGTTTTTTTGTGATTCGTTTTAGCGCAGATGTTTGGGTCTTCCGGTGTTTGAAAACTATTTCCACCTTGGTTTTCTTAGCCTCTGGGAAGTTCTGGGAAGTATGGCTTTTTTCAATCCCCATCTGGTGCATCTGGGACGTCATCGAAGTCTGGCTGGACTTTCCACGGAGATTTTTTCGGACCTGATTTTCATCTCCAAATCCCATTGGTCAATCCCAGAGGATTCCCACGGTTTTTTCAGATCCCAGGATCACGGTGGACGATGGCGAAACCCAGGTGCGGGCGCTGCCTTTAAAAAAAAACGACCATGCCGATGCTGCCATAAACCACCCATGAACATATGGTCGACTTAGGGATGGTGAATAGGTGAATATGGGATGAAGGCCACCAAAAAATGTCATGCAATGTATGTGAATGTGTATATACGGCATATGTATAACATACATATTGATAATGTAAACACTGCCGTATACTATATATGATTATATATGTATATTAAACGGTGTAATTACATATGTGAATATACATATATATACACGATTATATACGAACACACCCAAATGTTGGAACAAAAACAGGAGTCATGCCAAGGGAATCCACCCAAGAAATGTGAATGGAATGAGTCATTTTCTCGATCATGGAGGAGTGGTGACTCTTGGGGTTCCAAAAAAAACCCACGAGTGTCTACAGGTGGCGCCACCTGCTTTTCACTGGGTCAGTTGGGTCTTTTTCTGGAACATAAACCGACATGACTGAGCGCCGTGCTATCCAATCCATGGGTTCCTTGTGACTGAAATGCAGTGGTTGAACCAAGGTGCCCACATTTTTGTCTTGTCCAGAACGGGAAAGACTGGCCACGCATCACAAGATGTTCATAACCTTCGTTAATCTTCCACTTTGTTGATAGTTTGTTGCGATTTAGGTTTAGGTACTATCAGGTGCCAATATACCATCTGGTTATTTAACAATTTTAACATAGCCATGGAAAATGGCCCATTTATAGATGATTTTCCCATTAATACCACCATTTATAAGGGATTTTCCATGACTATGTCAAATAACCAAATGGTATCTATGAACGTTTTATACAGTTTCCTGTGGTCACTGCTCAATCAGCTCGGAGGTCGCGTCCTCGAGCAGTCTTTGCGACAGCTGTGGCATATGCCTACAGCCTTTTCAACCAGGCGCTGTGGAGCTGGTCCTAAATAATATATCTGGATATATCATTAAGATATATCTTAATAATATATCAATATATATTATACATACAATATGTGTGACTACATCCACCATGGTTTGGTCTGGGGGCTGTTTCATATTTCTGGGAAGCCTTACTGGATGGTCCCAAATATGTTTACGAAAAGCCATGGCTTCGTTGGAAGGATTGGGAAGAAATTCCTGGGCAAATCTGGGCCGTCAAGGTCTTTGCATAGTTACTTTGGCGTAGTTGGGAACGAGTTCCATCTATGGAAATTTCAGGACCCTCAAAAGTCGGCCTTATCCGTAGTAGGTACCGAGAGGTACCTCCAAAAGATCGGTTCCTGAGTCATGGCCATTGATTCCTAGCGTTTTCCCAGTCAGCGATCCTGGCAACTTCTCGGTTTGTTGTGCTGCAGGAGAGAACCTGACGGCGTTGCCATGTGCTACAGACATTTGCCCTTCTGTCAGAAGCTGAGACACGCGCTATCCAGCACAGGGATGAGCGTAATTGGATGTAATTGGCTGGTTTTATGAAAATCATGCGCAGATCCTTTGAATCAAGAAAATCTGGCACAAGTCAGGGATGCAAGCAAGAACTACAACTAAGCTTAGAACACATCTTCCTGTTGTTAGCTGGTTTTTAACCAGTGGCCAGCATAGTTTTGGGATGTTTTAGGATTGTTGGCCCAATCCCTATCCAATTTGTTAGGGTCAAGCAAGGTTTGATGGATCTTAGAGCAGCTCACATCCGGATGTCGACCGGTTTCCAGATTCATGGGATGTATCTGGCAGGTCTGGCACGCTGAATGTGTTCGCAAGTGGTTGTGCCAGGGGCCAGCCATGGGCGTCATGGTGGAGATATCCTGTACGATTGATGATTTGGGGATTAAGGAGCCCCAAACCATGGGTTTTTTCTGGCTATAACATGTAAAACAGCGCAACGGTCGAAATTTCATGACATTTCAGGGTTCCTGATGTATAGCCATGCTCATGAGATTAGGTTCTAGACATGCAATCCAGAGTACGCAGCTACAGGTTTAAGGCAAAGACGATACGAAGCACGCATAGGAATTGCATGAAGACCATATTTACACACGGCTGTAACATTTCGTATACACTGTATAGGCTCTGTATAGCTGTCTTTTGTGCCATGGTGATTTGGAGATGGCCTAAGTTACCCCAAAGGGACTCGGGTCGCATCCCAGTTTGGTTGGCTACAAACTGCAAATCGCTGCTATAAATCGAGTGCAGTTGTTTTCCCAACTTGAACTCACTCTACGAGGTGACTAATCATCAACCCATCAATACTAGGTTACTATGGCTGTGGTGGAGGCAACGCTTTGGAGCTATGGGTAATGTATCCATATTCATCATATTCTGTTGATTTCTGTTGTTTTTTTTCATGGGAAGCCAGGATTGGAGCTACAACAGTGAGCTTCCCAACCACATGATAGATATCCCGGATTTGGTTGGTTCTACAATCCATGACAAATCAAAAAACATGTGATAATTCAAATATCACCATAATATCACCATATGAAAAAAAGCAGATTTAGATGCTATATTTATATAATGTTATATATATATAATTATATATATATATATAATTACTTAATAATATAATTATCAACTATAGATGCTTAATGAAGCCTTATGAGTCGAAAAAAATCCTCGTTGCTTAAGACCTCCCCGGGGCTCCCCGGGGCCGGGAACCCGGGAACCCGGCGCCAGGCAGACTCCAACGTGCCCACTCTGCCGCTCCAGCATCGAAACGGCCGACTCCAGTGCCCTGATTGGATTTTCTTACCCCAGGACGACTATCTCTATATATTTATACATAATTAGATATATTCTATAATATATATATATACCGTATATATATATTATCATATATTATTACTCTAATACATGATATGTCATATATATTATTAACTCTGCTATTATTATTGTTATTATTATTAATATTATTTTTATTATATACATATATATATATTATATATACACATGTTTCATGACCACTTTATACCTGAAATCATGTGATATCTGCCAAGCCCAAGGTTCTGCGCAAAGCACAAGCCCATCCTTTGCCTTGGAGGCAAGGCTTGACGAGTCAGAAACTTGTGGATTTGGGCAGTAAATTTGGGACTCAACTGGTATTTACATATATTAAACATGTAACATTTACTGATGGGATTTTTGTTGAATGAGTTTGATATGTATCCTGTATCCACTGTCTATCCAACATCTGTTCATGGATTTTCAACATGATTGAAACTATTTGGAACTTACCCTCTGGTAAATTAACAGTTGGACCCTGAAAATCACCAATTTTGAGTGGAAACTAATCTTTCAAGCCCGATGACTGGCAGGGTCTATGTTAATTTTCTGGAGGGTAAATTATACTAAACATGATTGAACCTGTTTGGGACTTAAATGATATTTAACATGATTGAACGTGTGAGAAAATGATGGAACATGAAGATATATGTGCGAAGACATTGTATTCCAACACGATTCGTGCATGGAAAATGACATGAAAACTCTGTGGATCTTCATGTTCTCGATTTTCTGTTGCCATGTTTATTTGCCAGGGGGTGCTATGATATTCGTGATGATTCATTCAGGGCAAGTACGGCCATGAAATACATTCGAAATAAGTTGAAGGCTGTGGACCGAATGCATGAATTGATAGTGGTATGTATAGTTATAGTTCAGCAAAAACTGTCGGATTGTCCTGTAATTTTTGATTCACTTTTTGGCCTTTTTAGCTAGTGTCCCTGATTTGCTTTTCCTCATCTGTTCTTTCTTCATTTTCCAAATCTTTTGTTGTTTCTTCTTCTTCTCATTCTTCTTCTTCTTCTTCTTCGCCCCCATTTTTTTTACTTGTAGCTAGTATATGCCAAATTATGCCAATATCACATAGAACTCTCATCCACTCTCCAGTCAACCCACTGACACCGTGTTAAGCGTTTCTGGGGAAAAAACAAACATCCTGTTGGTGCTAGTCACATCACCAATAGATCTGATTTTATCATTTGAGTATCATTCTTATGCTATCTACTCGTATCATGGTTGCAATTATCTTGCTTCTGAACCTCCCCCGAAAATCGTCAGAAGTCACAAGATAAAAAAACTCCCATCTTCATTGAACCACAAATTGAACCACAAATTGAACCACAAATCGTCAGAAGTCACCTGATTTCTTCATTGAACCACACATTTCTTTGGGTTTTTTTGCTAACACCTTGATAAAATAAGCCTGAAATCCCAGGTGCGAGCAGCGTTGCCACTCTCTGCCACATCAGGTGGGGCTTGTTTGCTTATTTTGATGTCAGACACGCTTTGGGTCTTGGGAACCATCGCCTTTTTCAAAGAAGGGACTTTTTTTCAGGGTCATGAATTGAGGATGAGAGGCACCATCCCCAGGATATTTGGGAGACATAGTGACATATTGGCAGCTCATATTGGCAGCGGCTTTGCTTCCCTAGCTCTTCATGTGATCTGATCTGATGATACTCACCTCATCGATCTAACTCAGCCACTTTCCTGAGAAACTGTGGAACAACAGATTGACCAGATGTAACTCAACCACAGAACCACGGAACAAGGCCCAAGACAGTCCAGCACCATGTTTTTTACTGAAAGAAAAACTGAAGTGAGACACATCACCACCATTGGCACACTATATCAAACAAAATATATCAACTTATATCAAATTATGTACATCTGAAGTGATTTCCTGGTTCTTCATGAAAGAGGGGCATTTGATGCACCAGTCTGGTAGTCAATCAGGTCTTCAAGCAGCCTTTTCTTCAGGCTCTGCTGAGGGTTCTTGGAGGTAATTTCTGTTGAAACCAATATGTTTCTCCATGGCTGGCGGGATGCTTAAGCTATTAAAATGATTCCAGGCAGATGTGGCAGTTTTTCACTGTGTTCCAGGCTCTCTGTTTTTCACCAAAAAAAATGGAAGCATATATCCCTATTGTTAGGGCTATGTTTAGATATGTTTAGTATGTTTACCATCCCCAAAAATCGTTGAACAATAACATTTTGGTCTAAACTTAGTATGAATCATTGCTTCGGAAGCGAATGGCACATATTATGTAACCATTTTTTATATACTTCCCTAATACCCTCTGGTCAACATACAAAAAGCGACATGGAACATGGCCCAGTCGAAATAGTGGATTTACCCAGCTATAAAATGGTGGATCTTTCCATGGTTTTTTGTATGTTTACCATAGAAATAGTGGATTTACCCATTAAAAATGGTGATTTTCCATAGTTATGTGGCAGTTTACCAGAGGGAAGATTTTTACCCATTGGACCGTTCAAAGCTGAGAAATTCCAGGCCGTGGCACCTCCAATCAACTTTTGCAGCAGCTGGGACAGGCCTATGACTTTTTTCTCGTAGCCTGTGGTCTCAAAAATCAAGGGGAGTTGGATTTTTTTCATCTGTATAATATGTATTATATGTATAATATCTGTATGTATATATATATACATATGTAGCTATATATATATATAACTATAAATTATATCTTCTCATATGATCTATAAACATTCCATATATTAGATGCTAGTAACCTGGGAATATATTATAGATTATATAATATAATGTAATATATAATGTAATATATAATGTAATATATAATGTAATATATAATGTAATATATACATAATGTAATATATAATGTAATATATAATGTAATATAATGTAATATAATGTTATATAATATAATATAATAATATATATATATGTATGTCACAGTAAAAGAAATCATCATTTTTTTCGGGGTACCCAAAAAGGTACCGAAGAGTGGAGTCCACCATGGTCCCTATATCACTGCGGGGGTGCTTTCATTTGTGCTGGCTCTTTTTTTAGTAAAACTGCAACGTGAAGTTGAATAATCATAGTGACCGATAATCTGGATTGATAAACCTATAGGGTTTTTTGAAACTTTGGGGGGGTACCATTTCAGTGACAGCTTATGACCATTGGGCGGATACCCCATCAAACAGGGTTGATATTTATTCGGATTTGACATTAGGCATATCATCTTTCACAGACATTTAATTAAATTAGGGGGTCAGTTTTCAGGGCTGAACCCTTCATAAGGAGGCATGTCAGATACCCTCTGGTAAACTAACATAGCTATGGAAAATCACCATTTTTCATGGTAAATCCACTATTTCTATGGCCATTTTCAATAGTTTTTTGATGTTTTTTGTATGTTTACCAGAGGGTATTTGGTGGTCAAAATATGGTATGGCCTCGGATGTGTGGCTGTGAGCTTCCATCGATGTCGGCCCGTCCCAAAAAACGGTAGGTCCAGCTTTGGTCACGTCTGAAGAGTCATTTGTGTCAATGAAATTATTAACAATATTATATCCTAATATATCGGATAATTCGGTTAATACATTGCATCTTTAAATCATCTCTATAATACATTCAAGAATCGTTGCTCAGTTTTTTCCAAACGCCGAGTTTCATCGCAGGTGATCATTCAGGACATCCTGCTTTTGACACTGTCGCAGCACACAGGCTGACTTTGGTGGTCGAGACCGCAGCGGGAAAAAATGAAGTGTTGGTGGTACAAAAAGGGGCTCGAACTATACAGTTTATCTATGTTTCTCTGTGCAAATGCACCGTTTTAAAGATTTTTTAAGCATGTGATTGCAGGCTAGTTTTCTCACTGATTAGCCGATTAGCCACGTTCTGAGGGAGCTACCATCAGTTATCTTGAAAAGACCTTGGAAACCCCAAAGACAACAGTCAGTTATAATTAATATATATATATATAATATATATAATATAATATGTATATATATATATTATATTATATATTATATATATGTATATGCACTTCCTCGTAGGATGCAGGGCAAAGCATCCCTCAGTTTGATCATTCGATGTGGGAAAGCCAAGAGCCAACAAACCATCTCCGGTAGAGGTTTGGGATGGTTTGGGTATACCCCTAGGAATGGGATGATGATCCCCAAATAATGGGATGGTTTATGATTGGTTTTATTGCAGTGAAGGTTGGTATACCTTTTGGGGCCAGAAACGCCATGAACATCTTGTGACCACTTTGAGGTCCTGGTGCATACCAGGAGGAAGTGCCAAGCAAAGCGTAAAGAAGCTGACTGTTAGTAGGTTGGGCTAAACCAAAATATACTTACTAATCACCCCCCCATTCTTGGTGTTTAAACAAGTTTTTTTTGTAATGGGTTGGTTCAAACATCCGGGACTTGCCCCTGCGATTGTTTATGCTTGACGTTATGAATTTTAGCATGCAATCTATAACAGGTAACCCATGACTCCGTTGTAACCAAAATGTGCAAGATTCTCAACGTCACACCCAATAATCCAAACCGAAATGTTTGGGTAAACCCTGATTTTTGGTGCCCACACAAACATATAATTTTGATTGATTTGACATCTCAATTTTCGGTGATTAAACCATCATTGTTGCTGACTAAACCCACTGGTCCAGATGGCAATGTCTATCGATTTTTGCCATGGCTAGGCGTCTCTGGCAGCTTATCTTCCACTGCATCCCTGCCTCATTTGGCCGGGTCTGGGTGCGCGCACCCAGGGGGTCGTAGCGGAGCTACCCCATGTAGGATTCAATATTCACTGCTATGACTTAGAATTGTATAGGTTTCATTTACGAATTTATCATAAATGATTTTACGGCTGTGCAAAATTTCATTCTGGGCCGAATCGATGAAAAACTGGTGACCCTCCCTAAAAGATGTCAACCAAAGAACCATTCAGAAGCGGAAACCCAAAATGACTCCGTACAAAAATCACACCGTTGGAGCGTTGGACCGTTTTTTTGGGTGGTATTTTGTTTTAATGGATTTTATATGATTTTATTCATCAATTATAGAAGTTACTTACGAAGTTCATAATCGGTGACCTGTTTGATGGACCATCCAATTAGACCAGAAAATCCCTCGCCCAAAAAAAAATATCATTGGAATCGATTTGACATTTCTATGGGGCAATTTTCATTGTATTCCTATAATTCCTATAATGGGAGGATTCCAATAATCAATCTAAGGATTCCTAGAAATTCTATTCCTTTAATTCCCATGAATTCTCCATTTATATTTACCCGCCTCCCAACTAACATAGACAGTGCCAAATAGGGGGCTGGAAGATTAGTTTGCACGAAAAGTTGACTGTCAAACTCAAACTGTCAACTGGTTGGTTATCAAAACAAATAGAAAGCCTTGTCAGCTACTGTAGTCAATGGTATAGTTGTATCAGTTGTATCATGTTATATCATATCCCATCTAATATCCCTATACATCCCACTAAATCCCCATTTTTTGTTGGTTATATTTCCGGTATCTCCCCAATCATATCCCATTACCATGTATTTCCATTGATATCCATCATATAGTTTGCATTCAATCACCATCTGGTTGGTGGTTTGGAACATGAATTTTATGACTTTCCATTCAGTTGGGAATGTCATTGGGCCCCAACTGACGTTCACTCCATCATTTTTCAGAGGGGTAGGGCTCAACCACCAACCAACCATTGATCTCCCACGGACGAGTCTCACAACGGACCCCACCTTTCGGAGGCTCTTAAATGGAGCTACGGCCGATGCATCGAGCGCCTTGGCAGATTTGGGAGGCGCGGTATTTTTCGACGACGCGGCGGTGACCGTACCTGGAAAACTGGGACTTGACCATGATTTGCAATGAGCAATGCACAATAATAATAGACAATGAAACATGACTAACATTGAATCAATATTTTTGTCATATGCAATTTTTCAATGAACAAAGAACAATGACTAACATTGTTTATCCATTTTTCAATGAAGCAAGAATAACAAAATCAGATTTACACTCCGAAGACATGCAGATTACAGTTGCATATATTTTTGCCAGATGTGAATAGTAAGGATTCAAGACATAGAAATTGTTCGTTTTGGAAATCTGAATATGATGATAAACCACTGCTTAAACACAAGGTATTGGGACACACCACATTTCGGACAGACCCAAACATCTAAAAGATAGATAAATAGATAGATAGATAGATAGATAGGTAGGTAGATAGATAGATAGATAGATAAATGTAAAAGATAGATGGATGGATGGCTGGATGGATGGATGGATGGATGGATGGATGGTGATATTTGGAATGGTGATTCCCAACGGTTTCAGGTAGTTGAACTGCTGAAGATAGAACTAGGATGGTGCAGATTGAGCAAATCCCCTGGGTACCCTCTGGTAATTTAACATAGCTATTGAAAATGGCCCATTTATAGTTGATTTACCTATTAAAGATGGTGATTTTCTATAGCTATGTTAGTTTACCAGAGGGTATAATATATATTCATATTTATTTAATTTTATTTACTAATATTAGATATTAGACATTCAAACGGTCAACCATTTTTTCATAGGGAACATTTCCTTCACAGAATTGGATGATGGGAACATTTTAACCGGAAACCCCTATATTTGATGCTAAAAAACATGGTTTCCTGTAGACTTCCCCCCAACAAACCAATCCATTGATATCAGACATTCAAATGTTCAACTATAATATTCAACCATAATCATAGGACACATTAGGCCATTTCCAGATTAGATTTTCTCTTAAACCAATCCATTGATTCGTAGGCCTTTTCCAGATATAATTATGGAATATATTTGTAATACACATTTTTTTTTAAAATCATATAATACAATCCATTGATTACAAATAGGCCTTTAGATATCATACAAATAAAATTATGGATTAAACACATGTATTCCAAATATATTCCATATAATTTGCAATGATCCATATAATAGGCCTTTAGATATCATCCATTTTTAGATCAATCAAATTTCTAATTATCAAATTCTATTGAAAAATATGATCAACATGATATTCTATGATTTTCTATGATACACGGCTTTTCCCATGGCTTTTCCCATTTTCCCAGGGAAAAACGGGAAAAACGGCAGGCCTTCTGCTCCAAACCTTGACCACCAATGGCACCTTGCCGGTGACGCTGAGTGCCGTGGAGACCTGGGCACCAGGACGGACTGGGCCACTGGGGGCGCGTTTTAACGGCCCGGGGTTCAGCCCGTGAACCGGTTTGTTAAGCGCTTTGGGATGGGAAAACCATGGGAAAACTAAGGAAAAAGCCAGGAAAACCCCATGGTTAACCCTCTGAAATGGCAATCATTGGAGCTATAGCCCATTTCCAGAGACCCATCCATGGATGGGAAATGGATGGGAAACCATGCGGAAAATGAAAAAAACCCAGGGGGTGGGATGTAAAAATACATGAGCTATGACAACTAATTTATGGAAGCTAAGATACATGAGGATGACATCAGAGTTGTATCAGAAATGAGGTGTTGTATTAAATTTCTCATGTAATTACATGTAATTGGATGTAATTAGTAGATATGTTGCATATTGTTGCATATTATTGCATACGACCAACAGGAGTTAGTTACAATCATGAAAAGTATAACTGCATTCACCAGAAAGGGATGACAGAGGATATTGAACACTTCTCATGACTGTCCATGTTGTTGTGATATTCTCATGACTGTTGACAAAAACCGTTGAAACACATACATACATATATAATCATATATATATACATATTACATTATATATATACACATATTACATTATATATATACTTATATATATATTGTTGGTTGCATTGTATCTATATGTGAAGTATAATCTAGCTAGATCCGCGTTTCAAACATTTTCCTTTTAATAAGTTCAAGGCCAACAAAAGGACCACAGAAACTAACGATTCATACAAATCTATGCATATACATATGTATATACACAATATACGTGGGTTTATGCATGTTTTTATTTAGATACATATGATCAGTGTTTGAAACTCCCGTGTTGGTTGATGACAAGGAGTTATACTAAGCAATACACATTATCCAGAAATACTAAGCAGCTGACTCCTCCTGGGGAGGCACCGGGAGCCCAACGCACTCGGAAACACGCAGCGCGTTTCTTGGCGTGGCACTGTGTAGTGTTGGAGAAATCCACGGGAAAATTGCCGACGTTTTGACCCATAGATGTCGAACAAATGATGGTGGACGAAGTTGATGCAGAGATGATTCTTCGATTGAAACTGGGGAGTCCACAAATGTCTACCCTCTGGTAATTTAACATAGCTATTGAAAATCACCATTTATAGTGGATTTTCCCATTGAAAATGGTGATTTTCCATAGTTATGTAAACGTTTACCAGAGGGTACCAATTCTATGCCAGCCACTGGTGTCATTTCTCCATATTTCCTCATTTTAGCGATGGTGATCACCACGGCTCGTCCCGGTGGCTGCCCCATGTCCAAATGGGAAAAGCCCATATTTCCACACGTTTCATTGACGGAAATCACATTAAAACTAGCGACCTTGAAGTCAGGTAGGGTCCTCAGGATTCAAAATTCTTACTGGTCAAATATTCTCAAGGCTTTGTCAACGGGAACTCAATTTTAAGCCATTCCTTACCAATGGCATGTTTTCTGTTAGACCTAGCCCATGGAACATGTACGAAAGAAAAATGGTGAGCGTGAAATTCTCTGACACTGTGGATGGTTGCGAAATCCTGCACCAGTTGGTACACGGTTTATCCCATGATAATCCCATGATTTACAGTGTTTCATAGGACTCCCGTGGACTCCCACGAGTGAGTTTGGTTAGTTCGGTGCTGGGCCTGTTGAATCCCCTTATAAGGTCTGAGAACAAAGGTCGGGGCCGAGGTGCATCCTGAGGGGTCGGATGAATCAACCAGCCATATGGAGTGATGGTTGATAAATGTTTATAGCAACCATAAAAATATGGTGATGATTTGGGGATGATTTATGAAATGATATTGAATTGTTTTTTCCACCTCACAGGCTTTACTTCTAGTGATTTCGGAAGTATCTCAACAATAGAGTAATATGGCGGTCAATGGGTGGTACTGTAGTTCTTGGCAGTGATCCTGTTGTGAGGATAGAATGGAACAATCATTGAGGATGCAACCCGGTAACCAGTCTCCAGGATCATGTGACTTGTCTCTGCTGCAACCCCAGAAGTCACACATTTTCAAGACGCTGGGGTAAATCCAATGAAAAAAACCTCCAATGTCGGAGGGTGCAACCCATTAATCATGAAATTGGAAATTAAGATGGTTTTTAAATGTGGCTTTGCCAACACTATATCCATCTATATCATAATCCAGTCCTATAAAATCCGATCCACCAATTCTATACTTACCACAATCTTTTATCATCATTTATTCATTTTTTAAATCATCTATTATATCATATAATTATATATATATACACATATACATATATATATATGTATATGTATACGTAAATACATACATTGCATTACATTACATTACATTACATTTCATTAACATTTCATTTTCATTTCATTTCATTTCATTACATAACAGACATAGACATAGACATGGACATATTATACATATACATATACATAATATCCATGATATCTTGGATGTGCCCCCCACGGAATTTGGCACCGCCACAGGCAATCGCAGCAAGGGCCGGGGCAAAGGAAACCGCAGCGAGCTGAGCCAGCGAGGCGCAGTTTTTAGCGCAGCTGGGGATGTGGGGTTGGCGCAAATGATGAGAAAGCCAATGCCATGAACTATAGGTGGGTTTATAAACCCCATTAACTATAGTTATATAAATAAATATATAATATATAAATAAATATATATATATATATATCCCCTTTTTTTACACACCCATGTGAAAAAGCAAATGCCATGAGCTATACCCCTGAAAACCCAATGAAATAGTATAATTTTGGTGGCAGTATCTATGAATAGCAATACCCTGAAAGGGGGATTATTATTATTATGTATACCATGGTATACCACATTATCAAATATGTCAGTGTCGCATCTACACTTCGGCGGCTGCTTAACAGAACACGTTTCCTGACAATAAATAGTGTATATAGTGTTCCAAGACTCATGACAACGATGGAGAAGAGCATTAAGAAGAAAAAGACAAACAAGAAACACAAAAAATCCATGAGACACATCAATATCATAATGATGCAACATAAAGCGAAGAAAAAACAACCAAAAACATAGAACATGAAGATGAAGATTCACCCCCCCAATTCACTAGCTACATCACCGTGAGGCGCATGGCACCGAACCACACCCTCTGGTGCTTGGTGCGCGCCCCAAATGGCTTGCAGCCTGGAATTGGAGCCCAGGTCAATGGAATTTATGGCTGTTACATGTTGCTACCCACCCTTCAGAATAGGGTATAACATGGTCTAATCAGCATATATCTGGCAATATACCGAGGTTTCCTAAGTCGTGGGGGATGCCAAACTATAATTGAAACCATTCGTGAATTGGGGATCCCCTATGACTTAGGAAACCACCATATGGAATTACAGGCTAGATTCACATACCATCCTGGAAAAACTGCTAGATCACTAGGTGTACGGGGATGAATCAACAGCAAAAACACTGTAAAATAGCATGTTTGGGGACACTATAAAATCACCAGCCATTTTGGCGTTATCCCAGGGTATTTGGGTTAAAATACTCATAGCCATAATTAATGTGCGTACAGAATCTTGTAGATGTACCCTCTGGTAATTTAACATAGCTATTGAAAATGGTGATTTATATTATAGTGGATTTACCCATTGAAAATGATGATTTTCCATAGTTTTTTGTATGTTTACCAGAGGGTATTTCTGCCAGTTCCCAACATGCAACGTTCACCTGGAAGCGAAAGATGGAATGTCGTTGGGTCCCAGATATTTCTGTGGCTACAACTGCAGATGGCCACGTTGGGTTGTGCCACTTGTTGTAACTTCATCTTTCCGGCTTTTTTTTTGGAATCCATATTGTGAGGAAGAGGTGCACATAGGATCAAGAATTCAAAAGGTGAGCAAACACATTTTTGGGGACAGAAATGGGGATTCTACCACTACTACGTGCCGAATGAAGTCAACATGGCTTTGCAAGGCCTGTAGGGACTGCCCTAATTTGATGTCATGGCTGCTGAGTTGTCTTTAAATCCCCTAGGGATTTCATGTGTTATTCACAAACTACATGATCTACATGGGTGTGTCACATCTAGGGGAGCAACCTAAGGACATCTAGTCGTAGCATGGCTTCACCGCTTCACCATGAAAACGACTGATTTCAGAGCGGCCAGATGCGCTACAGGCAACATTTGACTGAGGAGGCCAGGGAAATGAGTTCTACAGGGAGGAAAACTGTTTGTTTTTGATTTATACAATGCCCAAAAAGATAGAATCGTTTTTCCAGGATGGTATAGATGATATTTTCCCCTGTAATTTTCAGGTTTACAACCGTTCTATTCTTTTTAGGTGGCTTTGACGAGCTTACCTTAAGCCTCTCCCCCTCACTTTGTTGTTGGGTAGGGTTTAGGTTAGATGTCTAAAGGTTGTCCCTTTGACTCTGCTATCTCAAAAGTGTGAGGGTTATCTTTGATACCCCACCTTTTGCTAACCCATTGTTATGTGTATAACAATGCGACCTGTTAACATCTACAGCGGCACAGAACATACTTCAGATTGCTGCATCTCCTCCCAAACCTTTCTATCCATATATGTTGTAGGATCAGTATCAGGTCATATTGCCAGATATTTGCCATATATCAATGATTATTAGCCATATAATTGCATATCATTGCCAATGATTATTTGCCATTGCTATATATCCATATATTTGCCATATTAATTAGTTGATTGATCAACAAAGCCATGATGCAGTCGGAGCAGGACATCGGAGCGCCACCTCGGTGGCAAACTCGACAGAGGAGCGCCCGATGTATACATGATATCGGTCAATGATGGTTTTTTTTTGATAGGTCAATTATAGACATATTAATTTTTCTGATATGATTACAGACATATGATATTCTATATCTAAGTATAATATAGATGTTCTATTTAAATTATTTGATAATATGTTTGAGAGGAGAGAACTTCTAAGTTCCATTGTGGATTGTGAATTGTCCTGCCCTGCCAGGCATTCAAACACGGAGGTCCGGCAGCTCAAGCCGCGCGGTACGAGGGTTACCAGTATCCAAGTCTCATCGTCATCGTGACTCCTCGATATGCTGAAAGCTGGGAGATGGCTCTTCACCGAGAGAATTTGAGACTGCTGTATATATATATACATATATTTATACACACATAAATGTGTATATATATATATACATAGATATTTTATGCATAATTACAAAATGTATATACATATAATAATCAATATATCTATATATCACTATATATCTATATATCACTATATATCTATATATCACTATATATCTATATATCACTATATATATATATGTTTGATATATATATATATATTATTTTCCCTACACCTGGCTTATAATGTGCTAAATGCACGAAGTGACCTCCAATTAATTAGTGACGTCCTGTCGATCGTCGGCGGATTGCAATTTCCGCCAGGCCTCCTCATCTGGGAGTCACTGGCGCGGTGGGCCGAGGCTGGACATTCTCATGCAGACACAATTGTAAAATATGATATATATATAGCGTATTATATATATATATATCATACACATATGATATATGATATGTCAATTGTTGATGTTATATCAAATTCATATAATGATATGATTTATTAATGGTCCAGGAATATAAATTGTTTAGTGATTGCCAACGGATATAGATGTTATCAGTTAATATAGAACTTGATGTTGGATATGTGAATGACACTTTCAGCAGTCCAGTACTTTCGGCAAGATCAGCACAGGCATGATGCTGTCGAGGCCTTGCAGCTCGATGCAGTGCGATTGAAAATTACATCATAGGGGCTTACCCTCTGGTCATTGTTGAATGGGTGTTTCTTAAAATAGGGCTATCCGACTATCCCCAGATCTCATCCATTTTAATCTTAATTTTTACATTATAAAAACCATCCAGGTACTCCCATGAAAAGGAAATCTCCAAATAGCTATGGAGAAGCACATTTCTTTAGAAACAGGGACCATTTTCAACCATAGCTAGTTTTCCATTAACCTCAGTGGGATTGTTCAAAGTGGTTTGGAAATGGGGACGATGAAACAGGGTAAAACTGATGATGTAAACTACCCTCTGGTAAACTAACAGTTTGCTATTGAAAATGGCCCAGTCGAAATAGTGGATTTACCCAGCTATAAAATGGTGATTTTCCATAGTTTTTTGTATGTTTACCAGGCCGGGTATCAGATTTGGGGCGGTTTTCTTATCCCAAACTTTTCAGAGAGAGATATCTCGCATCTCCCGCGCGATGACCATCAAAAAAAAAGAGTCTCGATCCGTTCGGTGATACTATGATGATACTATGATACTGATAATGTCAACCCCTAATCATAGGTATGATTATATAGGTTCTACCCTGACAATAATTTCTGTTTTTTTCTCAAAAATCCTGGCTTTTCGCCATACTTTTTCTTAGGCCAGGTGTTTGGACCATGTTTTTCATCATGGCCATGAGATGAAGTTCTTCACCAACTCCTGCCCTATCCTTTGCCAATGGATGAAGTAAACGAAAAGGACGAATTTCGATCCCCAAAAAAGGCCGTGCTTCGAATCTGAGCCGAGAGATTTCGATGTCGGCATTTGGACACGTTCACCAGTCACTTATCGATCTCCTCATTCGCAGTATTGTCTTGAAATCTATAAAGAATTTAAATAGAGGAGCTAGAATTCAACGTTCTTTCAACATTCTTTAAGCTTCATAGATTTCAAAACAATACTTTAAACAATAGATTTATTCTAGCTCATAATTATGTTTAAAGATGTTTAAAGCTAAAAAGCTTGCGAAGTGGCACCAGTTCCAGGAACCTGCAGCTCCAAGTCATCGGCGCCAAAGGCGCCGAAGCGGGGAATAGTTTACCCATGAAAAACATGGTGGCTTCAATAGTTATTTTAGTTCAACATGCTATATGATATACCATATATATATATACATAGTATATATACATAGTATTATCATCACATGTATATATATATATTTACTGTAGATATCTGGGTAATTGATAGCCTCACTGCGACCTTAGTGGAATGATGGTTAGGAGAGAAAATCGGGTGTGGGAGAAGATGGAAACAACAAGCATGGGTCGTTTAATTGAATTCCAGGATTATATACATGGAAAGAATTCAAGTTGTCAATGCATGAGGTTGGTGACCATGATATACTGATACTGATATACCATGATATTTGGATATTTCACGTTCTCCTTGGAGCTCCTTTCGTACGATACTGCAGGTATTTTTTCAGGGCCCAAGGGCGGCCCTGACCCCAGTGTCAGATGTTCCTCAGCTGCTCGACAGGTATGCGAATGATTATGCAGAGGCCATGAAGATGATTTGGCGGGGGGTGGTCGCTGATGGTTTTCATGGTTTTTCTATGGATCCATCATAGCTCGTTGCGACGGTTTCGCCAGGCCTCCTCATCTTCAAGCCATTGGCAGGGTCGACAAAGGCTGATGTCGCCGTGGCATGTGACTTCAGTCATGCATCCCATCTCCCAGCAACGACTTAGCCGCTCGCCATTACGCCAAAAACCTGTCGGGAATGTAGTGGAACTACTATAAACTCAACACTCATTAGCAGTTTATAGTTTATAGTATAGGTTCACCATAATTATATATGTATATATTATATTATAATTATATAAATATATATTATATTATATTATACTATATCATATTATATTATATTATATTATACTATAGTATATTATATTTTATTATATTATATTATACTATACTATAGTATTTTATATTATATTGTATTATATTATATTATATTTTATTATATTATACTATATTATATTATATTATATTATATTATATATATATGTGTGACACTGTGACATCTAATTATATATGTTCACTCAACAGCATCGCATGTCAATGTGAACATATGGTGAAATCAGCCTTCGGATATGGTGACTGGTGACCCTATGCCGGACAGGCATGCCAACGCAGAGGCGGAGTTTTTTTGAAAAACACCAACGCTGATCCACGCTGTTGCACAAACCAAGTTATGTCAGGTTGGTGGTTTGGAACATGGCTTTTATTTTTCCATAGATTGGGAATAATAATCCCAACTTACTAACTTTTTTCAGAGGGGTTGAAACCACCAACCAGATGTGGAAGGATTCTGAACATGTCTGAACATGTCTGAACCAGTCGTCTCAACAGTTCGTCAGAATTCAATGAATGAAGCTGGAAGGCCTCATCTTCGAACCATTGGCAGGGTCGACAAAGGCGGAAGAGATCAAACTGCGCATGCGCAGTTTGGGCATATTGCTGTGGAACATTGTGGAAGTGTTGTGTTCCAATTCCAATAATTTTGTATGTTATTATTATTTATCATAGTCTATGAAAATAGTGTTTGTTGACGGAGCGCTAGGTCTACATTGCTACATTCTGCTTGACATTTGAAACACCAAAACCTGCTTTATCCAATACTATATCCCACTGGGGGTGAATGAATCCCCATGTTTTTTCAGAGTTTGTCCTCTGGAAACTTGCCAGGCATGCGAATGCAACGGAGGCTGGGGTTCATGGGTCAATATGTTCCTTGATTTGGTCCAAGCTTTGGTTCTGATTATGGGATACTCAGAAGTTGTAGGCTTCTATCACGAGCTGATAAGGACTCCCATTCACCAACTGGTGAAAATCAAGAATTTGCTGCGGATGGTCGAAAATTCCACAGTATTTCTAGGATCCTCATGGGATTTCTGTAGGATTTCTCTGGATCCCCAGTGTTTCTATCCATTTTTCCTGGCTCCGAAACATTCTCCGACGACGACTTGATTCACGCCAGGAAGTCTCGGCCTGGGGTTCCCAAAGGCGCGCAAGCGCTTTATGTGGAGGGGTAGCTCCACTGATATTAGTAAACTAGCATAACTGATGGTATATGGCATATTATGATCATATACTGATGGTATGTATATATACATGTATATATATATATATATGGTGTATCATATACCATGTTGCATACCCTCTGGTGAACTAAGATAACTATTGAAGCCACCATGTTTAATGAGTATTTCAATAGCTATGTTAAATTACCAGACGGTAATGATAATATATCATATGAACCAACACAATCCGATTTAGAGAATCGCTTGGTTATTTATCATAGCTATTGGAAGGCATGGCCCGTGATAACACGGGAACTAATGATAATGTAGCGCTACAAGGAGCAATAATGTGATAATGATAATAAGGCGTAATAGTTGATCATATGAGATGAGGAAATGCATATTCAAAGAACATAATATTATGAGGAGATAACATATAAATACATATAATATACAATATGTATTATATGCATATTACATGCATATATTGAGACATCACACACACGCACACACTCACGCGCTTCAGGGTTCCAAAAGATGATATCTGTGATAGAACGTCACGATGGTGATGATGATGATGATGATACTGCTGTTGATGAGAATGTATTTGATCTACAATGGTGATTCTGCTATCAATCTGGATGATGTATCCTGATATAATTCTGTATAGATATGGCTTTCATTAGGCAGTATGTGTTGATATGGTATTCCTAACATGAATATGGGATTGTTAAAAAAAAAACATATGGGGAAGCAATCTAAACACAATCTGCAGGTTTGTCTGCCAAATGGGGGCATACACACTTTTCAGACACACTTATACATACATGTACATATGTATAATAATAATAATAATATATCACTGTATACATACATACATACATACATACATACATACATACATACATACATACATACATACATACATACATACAAACCGTGCAAATCTCTTTTTGCCTGCTGAACATACTAAATGGCTTTGGCCCAAACTGTGGTATATACCATAGTGGCCAGTTTTTTTTAATGGGGAAAATGGTGCTAGTGCAGATAGCCCGTTTGAGGTACATGCAGCAACATCACGCTGCCCCAGCCCGTGGGGAATCCGAGCCGATATTGGCAATATGAACCACACAAGGACGCCATCGATGATATATCCAATATTAATCACCATCCCAACAATTGCCGTATATTTAATGGCAAACCCCTAAAAAAAAAAACAACAAGGTAAAAAAGGAAACATGCCAAGATAGCGGCACATGTTTTTTCTATCTTTTTGAGGGTTGCAAGAATTAAGAAAAAATACTTTGCAACCTATTGCACCCTATTCTCCCGAGGCTCAACAAGGTGTTTTCCAAGTTGCTTGAAAGTCCGCCGGAGACTGTAAACCGTTCATGTTCTTTTTAGGTGTGTCACCAAAAAAGTAACACATATTATGAATCTATCTAGTCATTACAATCTATTAATAAGTAATAAGTCATATTGAGAATCTATTCTTTTCCAGAATCATCATATTATGACATATCGAAGCTATGGCTTTTGTCAAGATGGATAGCATCAATTACTCAAACACCTGGCATTTTTCCAGGGTATCCCCAAAGGCACCAGCATCCACCAGGTAGATCCTTTCATCAAAATGCAAAAGGCGCGGAAAACGCAACGCGCCAGCGTTGCCAAAAAATGCCATGATTCCCTGTACTGGCGATCTGTTGGTCACTGGCTCCGTGCAGGCCATGGCAAAGGGGTCGGGCACCAAGTTGTGCCACTTCAACTGATAGCGGATTGGTTGAAGGGAACATCTACAGGATCCTACCATTTATCATGGGAAAAAGCATGGTTTCCTCTAGATTTTCCCTTGAACCAATTCATTGAATTCTGTTTCAATGTTCCATCCATACTTGGGATGAGTAGGGGTAGCGATTTGAAGAGCGAATTCTTTGGTTTTCCTTTGGATGGATTGCAAATGCCAATCAGAAAACCATGGAAAACCACAGAAAACTATGCTCTCCAAGGCCTCTGGGTATGGTTCGGGTGCCAAAGCTATTCTCAGGGAGGGGCCCGTAGTGACGAGCTGTCAAGTTTGAAGACCTTGGTGGCGTTTTCCCGAATGCGTAGCAAGGGTTCCCGTTTCAATCTGGGGGTCTGGGGGCTGAGGGTGTGTTCGCTCCACGTTGCGTTTACGTTCACAACCGTTCGCAACCGTCCGCAACCGTTCGCAACCGTTCCGTTCGCGCGAGGACCATATGGCCGTGCCTATGGTAAGTTCTGCAGAAGGGGTCCTTTTTGGGGGTTTCAAATGTCTCGTTGCTTCGTTTCGCGTGGCAGGCGTGGCACTTCGTGACATTCAGAGGTGTTTTCTGACGTGTCGAAAGTCGTTTTGTGTGGCAGGCGCAATACTTTTGCGACGTTTTCAGAAGATGCGTTGCAGTTTTCGTGGCAGGCGCAGCACTTTGGACGTGTCCATCGTCATTTGGCGTGGCGGGCGCAGCGCTTTTAGACGTGTCGTGTTGCATGTTTTTTGCGAATCGCATTGGTAGGGCCGCGTCAGGTGCATGGCGACAAGGTGCAAATTCCGCAGTAGGCGTGGCATTTTGTGAGATGTGCCGAAAATTGACGGAAGCTCCGCACGAAACATCGATTTTGAGGTAGCAAATTTTCAGAGGTTCCTACGAAACCTCGTAGGAAAATGTCGATTTTGAGGCTGCAAAGTGTCAAAATTGGAGGAAGTCTCACACGAAATGCTCATTTTCCTGCGGCCACGTGTCTCGTCTCGAGTCTGGTTTTCCTGTGGCCTCGCCATGTCTATGTGGGGAAGCTGCAAAACCTCTCCTTTTCGAAGGTTTCCAAGCAGGTTGTCATGTCGTTTTGCGTGGCAGGCGTGGCACTTTGTAACATTACAACCTGTTTGATAACGTGTCGAAAGTGTCACAATTGGAGGAAGTCTCGCACGAAATGCTCGTTTTCCTGCGACCACGTGTCTCGTCTCGAGATGTCTCGAGTCTCTGGTTTTCCTGTGGCGTCGCCGTGTCTATGGGGGAAGCTGCCCAACCTCTCCTTTTCGAAGGTTTCCAAGCAGGTTGTCATGTCGTTTTGCGTGGCAGGCGTGGCACTTTGTAACATTACAACCTGTTTGATAACGTGTCGAAAGTGTCACAATTGGAGGAAGTCTCGCACGAAATGCTCATTTTCCTGCGACCACGTGTCTCGTCTCGAGATGTCTCGAGTCTCTGGTTTTCCTGTGGCGTCGCCGTGTCTATGGGGGAAGCTGCCCAACCTCTCCTTTCCGAAGGTTTCCAAGCAGGTTGTCATGTCGTTTTGCGTGGCAGGCGTGGCACTTTGTGACATTCCAACCTGTTTTATACCGTGTCAATAGTTCTTTTATGTGACTGGCGCAACAATGCACACCACACTTTACACTCTACACTTTACACTCCACACTCTACACTCCACACTCTACACTCCACACTCCACACTCTACACTCCACACTCCACCACACTCTACACTTTACACACTCCACACTCCTCACTCCACACTTTACACTCCACACTCCACACTCTACACTTAACAACTCCACACTTTACACTCTACACTTTACACTCTACACTCCACACTTTACAGTTTACACCCCACACTTTACACTTTACACTCCACACTCCACACACTAAACTTTACACTCCACACTCTACACTTTACACTCTACACTTTACACTTTGCACTCCACACTTTACAGTTTACACCCTACACTTTACACTCCACACTTTACACTCCGCACTCCTCACTTTACACTCCACACTCCACACTCTACACTTTCCACTCCACACTTTCCACTCCACACTCCACACTCTACACTTTCCACTCCACACTGCAGACTGGTAACAGGGGGAATAGGTGCAAGACTGTTCAAATAAACTATTGCAGAAAAGTGTTCAGCGTGACTGCATATCCGTGTGTTTCGACATCTGTACCATTAACATGCGTGTGAGCATTCGGTTCGTGGGCTGCATCTTGTTTTTTGAAGTGTGCCATTGAAGTTTACCAATTTTTGAAGTTGCCATTTCATCAATCGATAGTTTCTTCTATTTCTAAGACATGTTTTGGGTGCTCCCATTGGAAAAAAGGCGGCTTCCATTGACTGAAGCATCAATGAATCCATCAAAATGGTGTTGAAAGATGGAACGACCCTCCATTGGATCTGTTCAAAAAGAATGACTGGTTGATGATTCGATGGATTTCTGGGAAATTTCCTGAAAATCTTCCAGTTTTAACAATGTTTTTCCATGAGTTTCCATGATTTTCCATGTTTTTTTCCATGATTTTCCCTCCCAATTGGGGATTTCAGGAAAAAATCTGTCCAGGCCAGAGATCCGCACGGACCTGGAACTCCTGGAGCGATTGGACTCACTGGGACGGTGCGTAGCTTGGCTTGGCAAGCCGCGGGAGCGATCTGCGACGAAACATCCGTGTTTTTTGCATGGGAAAATCCTGGAAATTCATATTAATTATATACAGTATAGAACTAAGATAATATATATATATATTATAATGTATAATATATATATATTTATAGATATATTTTATCATATATTTTGTTGTTTATATATAGAATATCTGGATCACTGGAGTGGCCCTAATTCAGGTTTAGTGACACATAATAGTTTGCCCAGACGTACAACATATAAACAAATTATATAATATATAGTCATCCTGGAGTAGAGAGAAGATGGAAATTTCAAAGAATCCTCAGTAAAATTGGAATATGTTTGAAATTTCTATAGTCTATCTAATTCAGGACCTTCAGGATGAGTGTGCCGGTGAGTCTCAATTGAGGGGTCTTCGTGTGCCGGTGAGCCTGAAAACGCATGCTTGGATGAGGCCTAGTCAGTTTTCTTTAGGGAGCCCAGCTAAACAGGGTTGGATTCTGGGAAGTTGTTTTGCGAAGTCGCACAGTGAATCTTCAGATGTTTTGCGGCAATTGCAGTACCTATAGACATAGCATACCTTGATTATTCCTTGAGCATGGTCAACGGCCCGACGCATCAAAAACCTGCAGTCCGAAAATGAGGTAATTGTTTATACCCTAAAGTTGTAAGTTTGTACAAGCGGAAACATGATGATAATTGGCATTGGAAAATTCCGTGCCTCATTTTCAGACATCAGACAAACCAGCGGCCTGAATCGCGCCACAAATGGACCGCAAATGTTCCTGGCCCAAGATGATGAAACACTGATCTTCTTGATTTAGGCTAATTACTATTTTATGTTTTTTTCTGCCTACAACTGAAGTCAGTTGAAAGGTGTTGTACCAGTTTTTGCCCCTGAAAAAAAACCTGGAATCTGAGCGAAAGACCATGAGTTGGATGAACGAAAAGCAGCGAAAGCGCAGGATTTTTGCGGTTCACTTGCTCCTTGCCCTAGCACCATGCTGTACCCATTCATACATCAGCTGTCATCAGCTTCATATTCGCCAAGGTTCCCTGAAATGTCAGAGTTTTGACGACTTTCCACGCAATGTGTTGACAAACCTGTTCTTAATGCCGGCTTTGACTTGCATCTACCTTTTGCGCTCCCTTCATTTCCAGACATTCGTGGTTCTATCAACACGTCTCCAGGCTGCTCCAGCTTATTGAAGGTAAATCATTGCACCAGCCGGAAGGGAATTTATGGTGGTTTTATTGTTTTACCAGTCTTGCCGGCATCTATTCTATAATATCATATATTATCATATGATATATAATATATATTATGTAATATTCTATAATATTATGTAATATTATATAATATTATGTAATATTATTTAATATTATGTAATATTATATAATATTATATAATTATATAATATTACATAAGATTATATATCATATGATATATTATATAATGTTATTATATTTTTATTTATATTTGTATTTGTTATATTATATTATACCATTATGTAATATCCATATTAAATAATATATAGACAATTCATAGTATATAGACACATAGAACATATACAGACGAATATACAATATTTACCTTGCCCAACGAACATAGACACTGAGGCAGAGGTGAACCTCGCGAAGCTCCAAGGCAGCCAGTTGGTTGGGGATTTTACGATGGATTTTACCATCTAAAATGGGGATTTTAAGCATCTAACATAGGGATATCATGGGGATATTATGGAATATATCATGAATTTCATGGGGTTATCATGGGTTTCTTAACTGCTTAAAAAAGTTGTGCTTGTGGGGTCAGCTAGTCGCCAGATATTTTTGGAGCGTTTGGAATCGGTGGGTGGAATCTGATCACCAGGGTGAAAAAACCAGTGACCAAGTGGGATATGTACATTGTTTGAGTTGGAATGATACTATGAGAATACTGGGATCATATTAGATTATTAATGATTATTAGACATTTTTAGAAATATGATGATATGATGGGAATATTGCATCCCAGTGGGATGATACTATGCATCCTCGGAATTGATCTACAGCTGCACATAGCTGTGGCAAAGCTATGGGACTACACAACATTTATGTAAACGCATTAAAAGTGTGTTGATTAATATCAACTTGTGTTTTTTAGGTTATGCAGCGACACAGGCATTCGTCAAAATTTTCCACAGGTAGCGGCCACTGAAACCAGTGACGGGCACAACGACTTGGTGGTGCTGCAACCGAACACTTTGGAAGCCCCCAAAAAATAGGTGTGGGTGAAAGATGTCAAAGTTATGCACCATTAATTAATTCATAGGCTCATAAAAAGCTCATAAAAAGTAGATACATGCATTACATGTAGATAAACATCCGCAGATCGCAGCACATGGCTAGTTATGCAGTGGGTTTCTTTTGGGATGTTTAGCAGGCAGGGGCGGAAAGGCCCGTACCCATACCTGCCCTCAAAGCCTATGTATTGGCGGCTGGGGGGCATTCATGCACGTTCACTAGAAGCTGAGGGCATTCTTCTTGTGAACAAATTGTGGGTTTCAGCAACCTTTTTTTGGGGGTATGGCATGGTGCCACGAATGAAGTAGACACGAAATGAACAAGACAGCAATGATAGCTCACGATATTTCAAGATTAGTATGGGCAATTTTTTTTGGACCAAGAGACCATAGATATTGGTCATTGTTAGTAACCCTCCAAGTTTATCCAAGTATAGGTACCCCATTTTGACCTTTACCCAAGTTACAGATCTTAGGATTTCTATGAAATTCTATGCCCATCCTGCGGGCACTGTGGTTGCAGGGACCATGGATGAGTCTGCGTTCCCACCCTCAGCAGTCCATGACATACATTGGAGTGCTGTGTGTTGGATTGTTCCTTTTGTGCTGTGTGGTCAGTGAGTGGCTCAATTCAAAATGGAATTGATTTGAGTGCCACAGCTTGTGAGGCTTGCTCTTTCAAGATACCAAAACTCAACTTAATTCTACTGAAGAATTCTACTGAAGAATGACAAGAGATAGCAGGAGTTGGGGGAAACGTGCTGCCGCTTTCGCAGTGGCCATCACCGATTTGTGGGTCGTGATTTTATCTTCATGAAGTGACTTTCACGTGTCTCCGTATGGGAATCTGATACTGTAATGCGCAAAGTAGTCAACAAGACCGGTTGGGTCAAGTCTTTTCTGTGGATCTGACCTCTTCGAGTTGATAACATGCTACAAGCTTTGTTGCTAACCCAGTTGCTAACCCTGCTATGTGGGATGATATGGATAGATTGGGACAGCCGGCGTTTCATGAAAGAGCCAGCAAAGTAGGATCACCTGCTGTTCCTGCGCATCTTTTCCACCACTTTCCACGCCATGGTCACAACATGAGAAGTTGATCTTGGATCGGACAATTCCTTAAATTCCATGATGAATTTGATGTTTGGGAATTTGGGACAGCTACCGCAGCTGGCCCTGGTCGGGAGGCCTTCCGAGCACATTTCCAGCTGCTGCAGCAGCCCGGTGCTGGGGCGTGGTTGCATGCGCCGCCGTCGCCTGCCCTTGGATTGCATGTGGCTGGGCCGCTCTTCAAGATTATGGTCCGCTTGCGGCTGCGGCTCCAGGTGGCTTTGGGTGACGCCCCCTGCCCTATGTGCGACGGAGTGGCGGACAGCTACGGCGACCATGCCAGGGTTTGCCCGTGTGGTGGCGACCGCACAAAGCGCCACCATAGCCTGCGGACGCTGGTCGCTGCCCGATCGCAGGCAGCTGGGTTCCACACCGAAGTCGAAAAACCTGGTCTTCTCCCACCCCGCCCAGAAGACGGAGGTGCTCCTGAAGATGGTGGTCGTGCTGGCCCGGGGAGGCGCCCCGCGGATGTGTGGATTGGCAATTGGGGGCTGCTTGGACCTGCTGCCTTGGACCTCGCCGTGACCTCAGGCATGCGGCTGGGGTCCCTGGCCCAAACAGCCGCCAACGGCCAACATGCTGTGGCTGAGTACGAAGTCAAAAAGTGCTCACACCAGAACACACTGGCCAGCTGCGGGGCAGAAGGCTTGCAGCTCTTGCCTATTGTCGCTGAAGCTTGTGGCGGGGGCTGGGGCCCTATTGCCTTGCAAACCTTCAAAGCCATTGCCACGGCTGTGGCGGCTCGGAGCAATGAGCCTGCCGGCGTCGAGTACGACCGCTTGCTTCAGTGCCTTTCCGTGGCTTTGCAGAGGGAGAACGCCAGGGCTGTCCTCCGAAGAGTGCCTGGCTAGCGCGCTCCTGGTGCATCTTCATGCCGGTCGACCTCCCTATGGCTACAGGCAACTCAGTTCCCTACGTTCCTGAGCGTGGCTTTTGTTGCGGCACCACTCTTTGACCCCACGGATTTTCCTTTCCCTTTTGAATCTGCTTCACGGCTTCTGCGGCTGCATTTGCCCGACTGAATTCGCTGGGTACCTGACCCCAGCTGTTGGTCGCAATGCAATGTAGCCTCATGGGGTGTTTGGTGCTTGTGTGGGACACGCTGCCTTGCTTGAAGCATGAGCACGCCGTCTGGTCTTTTTGAATTTCATACAGCCATGTTATACTATGTTCCTTTTTTGTGACCGTCCGAAGTGTGTAAAGTCCTATGGCTTTGGATCGGTCAATCTTTGATATCCTACCCCGGATCAATACTTTTCTGGGCTTTCATATTGCGGGGGGGATTTGTGTAGGAGATGATCAAGATTTGGGGGATTACTCAACCAGGATCGACATGTATCTATTTTATTTGGCCTTGACATATCTCAAGTCTGGACAACTCAGAGAACAGAGGGATCTCATCCCTCTGAGTTGTTCAGGTTGACCAGCAAAAGTACGCGAAGCTTCAGCGAATTCGGTGAAACTAGGGCACCATGGTTGGTAGCATAGATCGGTTAATCCGTTGAAAACTGACTTCGTTTGTTTCCTTGGTAAATCTCAGCCTGCGCTTGCACCCACACTACAGCTGGCTATTTTAAGCCTAAACGACAACAGCACAGCTGGATTAACATGCTGATTTATTTAGTGGCTAGTCGGGTAGTGTTGCAACAGATGTATCGGGATGTATCAGGGTGATGGTGAAAGTTGGAGCTACCCGGAAAGACGCGGAATGGCATGTTCTGGCTCACAGGCTTGGACGTGTCATGAATTGGCTTATCCATGCTTATCCCGTGCGATAGAAGCCACCAAACCTTTCTTTGTATATACTGTAGCATTCATGATAGCAGTTGCTTTGTCACGAGAGATTGAGATGGATAACACCTATTCCTATTCATAAGCACACACAAGCACCCAAAAAGGCTTTGTGGCTGAGCACACATTCCAACATACTGTCCATGCATGTATTAGAAGCCTTTGGCACGCATTGATTGGGGTAAACCTTGGTTGGGCAGTTTTATATTTTTCCCCTGAAATGGGTATATCAAATGCATCATATTATAGATTCAGGTTTCCCTAAGATCAGCAATGAGTACATACTGTGGATGGTTGCGACATCCTGCACCAGCTGGTAGATTGTTTATAAGCTTGTTTCTTTCAGCGTTTCACACTGTAGTTCCCAACACTTACCAACTGGTGCAGGATGGCTTGTCCAAACCATGACGCAATTTCTGTGCCAAGCTTTGGGCGTTTTGACCATGGCCCCCGGGCACTGCCCGTAACACCGCAACCCCGCCCCGCCTTTGTTAGGACTTGCCGTCCGGCAAGTCAGTGGGGTCAGTGATTCAACGCGCCAGAGAAAAGGGGTGGATCAGGTGGATCAGGTGGATTTGATTCATGCTAGGATTTCATGAGATCTAATCAACCCAAGCTTACATGTACATGTTATTCATGAAATTCAGCCCACTTATAGCAGTTTTCATCCATTTACACAAATATCTAGCCCCTGTGGTTTATATACAGTTAATATTTGAGAGCATGTATCTGAAAATAGATGCTGGAGTAGATATATACTCTTGAATACATGAATCGTAGGGGCCTTCCTGCCGGTTCCGGTTGGTATCAAAAAAAATGAACATTTCGAAGCCCATCACGCCTATCTTCAGGTTGGAAGGGAGAGACCCCGATCTTGAATGCCCGATTCCAAGGGTTATCAGTAAGGGATGATTTTCTGATATTTTCTGATTTCCCAATGGAAAATCGGAGGCAATGTAGCTTCAGCACTCTTTCAAGAGAAACTATGATGACCAGCTACAGTTTGTCTTTGTGTCATTCCAGACATTTCCAGACTCACCTGATATCTCTTCCAAATAGGTGACGTGGCTGGATAGGCCTGCATCTCTCGGTTTTTTATACCTTTCTCTTCTTAAAGTGAGGGTGCCCCCAATCATCCAAGTCGCTAGACATCATTTGGCTGGTCACCGTTTGGGCTCTAGTGAAAAGCTGCTCCGTTTAGGCCAGATCCATCAAACCAGCCCTGCAAATAAAACACAAAGAAGTCATGGAAATGACATAGCATAGAAATATCACTGAACCATTACATAGCAATATCGGCAATATGAATCAATATTATGTGTTTCTCGGTATAAAAATATTATGAGATGCTTCTTGTTGGAGTATGTGACCTTGGTCGATGGATATGTGGATATATTGAAATTGAAAAGGATTGGTGGCATTTACAAACATTTCCCCCACGGCAAAATCAGGCCGAATAGAACCAATGAACCCTTGATGTGCCGCATGGATTACCCAAACATTGGGTACTCCCATGGAAATCCAATGATTTGTCATGGTCTTCCTTATTTAAATGGCCAGCGCTTTGGGTATAACCCATTTTGTGCAACCATCTCATATTCCTGGTTATATTACAGATAAGACTAGATTATGTTAGATTAGATCAGGTACCAAGTGGTCTTACACATCCACCGTTCCCGTTACGTGTTGGGGCGCAGACATGAGCCATGACACTTCTACCGGGCACGCGCTTCAGGCACTGGCAATGTGGGGTCAGGATAAAGCCTTTGGTAGTTCCCAAAAAGATAGACTACATTATATATATATATATATAGCTGACAGCCAGAATCCATATTATATAATTGAAATATCTATCGCCAACTACATGTGACAACTACACAATGGCATTGATATTGAACATAGACAACAATTTCTTGTTATTTAGTGCAATTTTACAGTTCTCCATCATTTTTTGGGATTGCTACAGATGGGTATGGCCCAAAGTTAATAAAACTTCTGGGCGCCAGTCGTACGCGAATTTATTTCAGCCATGAGCCCATTGGAATGGGTGAAAACCCGTGAGTGTATGAATCCGGGACTTTGAAGATCAATTTATATTACATGCCATGCTATTTTGATGTTATGGTAGGGTTTTGATAGCTACCTAGAGATTTCCAAATAGATTCTGACAGAATCTGATGGATTGACTGGGTATTCCATGTGGAGATGGCAGCAGATGTCGCTTGATTTTGTCCGACGGACTGCAGCCAGATTTGCGTTTTTTTTGTTTTTTCCAATTTTGACCAAAGTTTTCATACATCCACTTCTTGATTCTGTCAGTTGGAGGGTTTTCAGCTGCAACGATCAAAGCAAGCGATCTTCCAGCCCTTTGTCTCTGACCCCAAAAAAGGAAAGGATGTTGGTGTTTAAACCACCCAGCAGCTTCAAGTCGCCTAGCGGCTGTTCTAGCAGTGACAGCCTCGTGGTGGGAGTTCAGAGCTTGCTTCCTTAGTTGCAACGCATAGATCATCATAGGGCCATTGAATGGCTGGTTAATCTGAATGGTGGGTGTTCTTTTGCATCTTTGCATCCCTGTTTTTAGTGGACATCTCTCCAATTTTGTGGGATGTGTAAAGGATCTTGTGGGTCCATGCTAGAGGCAACGGCCTGTACAGGGAGGATTTGGGAGAAGGGACTGCCTCAACCCAGCCATGCGCTTTGCTCTGTGGCTTCGACCAATTTCGTTGTTGAAAATGGCCGTGCTTCGAGTTCCATCATTTCTGAATGGGTGGTGTTTGAATGTGTTTGATGTATTTTCCAGTTAGATCACCAGGATTTCCGTAGCGTTCTTACCTCTCTTTAGTCGTGCATCATTCTGGAACTCCAAAAGCAGTTTCTGATATTGATGCTGTGCCTCTTGGCATTGGTCTATCCCCAGCATATTGCGCCCGGCAGCACAGCAACTTCTCTTTGTCATGTTTCTTGTGGGACGGTTTGGTGGCACCAGCCTGCTCAAGCGATCCGAAGCGATCTGAAACAGCGATTCACCTCGCTCGGCCTCGATCTGTGAGTCATGATGAAGTCGTTGCTGCTCCTTGGTGCTGTCTTCTTCGGGGCTGAAGCAGAGTCCCAGGAGATTCAGAAGCTCTTGGCTTATGCACGTGGCTTGGAAAATATTGGAGAAAGTCGAACATGCGGATCACAAGGGAACTTGGAGCATTCTGAACATGCGAGTCAGAAACACGTAACTACATCGTAATCACTTAATTCATCTTCATTCTACAACTGTCATGACACCCGCAGAACAACTTGTTGGACACGTTACAATTACAATTACATCTTTTTTGGGCAGCCTTGAACTGGAAATCAAAACCCCGTGGAGTGCTCCAAAATAAAATCTTGGGGCTTGAGCCCGAAATATTTCTGGGAAATAGTGCTGTTTGAGGTGTTTATGGTGGGTTGGACCCACGGGTTCTATTTTCTGGGGAAGCCTCGTGATCAGGATCTCAACAGGTTCTGCTGTTGGGCAAGAGGTTGGGACCCTGTTAATTTTATTTTTTGCCTGTGTCAGTCGCAATAATGTCGATATGTTTGTGTTTACGGTCAGCCCTGAGTCCCAAGTGTCCTTCGCCTTGTGTGCCTTGTACACTTCTCGATTTGTGCGGGTCTTCCCACACCAACGCCCAATCCACGGACGCGCCTTCTTGTTTTCGATCTCGAAACGGCTAAGGTAATGTTGGATTGAATGAAATGCAGAATGGGATATGCAGGCATATGAACAAGAGCACAAACACTCCTCCTAATCTGCGATGCCCATCTGCAGATTACACATTTGACGCATTTGGAAAATTCAATTGGCATGGGAATTTCCATCCATGGCCACAAGCATTCGGTGCCAGTGGAAGGTAACAAAAACCTAAAAACGGTGACCTTCCAAGATTGACTCAAGCCGTCTCTCACTCGCTAAGTCGCATTCACGCAGCGCTGACATTTCTGATACTTTCTTCCAGATTCAGTCATCGCAACGCAGTCGGAATCGTAGTGCGCCTTTGAACCCGGTCCACACGTGTACACCGGTTGGTCTCCAGTCTTTCCGAGTGGGGCGCAAACATCGCACCACTGACACGGCACAAATCTCTTCGTGTTGGCCAAAGTAGGACAACTTGTGTATTCATGATAGCGGGCACCCCATGGAGTCACAAAAATGGGTGATCGGATGCTTCCTCTCACCGCCCTCTGGCCTCTTTCTTCTCCCGGGGTCCATGTGTTCCCGCTCATCGTTGGCACTGTTCTCTGGTGTTGGGTGCTGGCTGGCAGCGGAGCTTGTTTGGGAATTGGTGGCGGAGCCTTCACGGAGATCTGGGGTGGGGGGACTGCTTGAGAACTAGATGCTGGCTCCTCTGGTGCGTGAGCTCCAGATGTTGAGCTGGCTGCCGTCTGCTGCTGTCTTCCTCCTTCCTCCTCATGGCCCTGCTCCTTCCTCGTCGGAGCCGTCCTTCTATGGCTTGACTCCTGTGTCCGACTCGCGCCCCTCTGGCTTGAGTCTGTCGAGAGTGCTTCTTTGACTCTCTTCGTCAGTTCTTCCTCCTCCAAGCTCCTCTTCGCTGGGGTCATCAACCTCACCATCCAGCTTATGCATGTCGTGACGCCGATCATGGCGAAGACCGTCAGAGCTACAAGTTGAGCTAGAGAGCTCCAACCCTCCTCCTCCTCTTGTTCTTGAGCTTTGGCCTGTTGGACACTGCAGAGGAGGATGACCATCCTCAAAATCCTCTCAACCTCTGCTCCTGCCTCCTGCAGCCCTGTCTCCTCTGCTTCTTTCTTCGTGTGCTGGCTTGATCCTGAATCCTTCTGCTCCTGCCTCTCCTCTTCCTGATCATCTCCTCTCTGCTTCATGCCCATCATCTGCTTCAACTCCTCTAACCTCGGAGCTGTGAGGGCCTTGGTCCCAATGTCTGCAATCTGCACCTGACCTGAGATCGCCTCCACCACCCAATCCAATCGTCCAATCCTCCACCGCAGATGGGACGCCCTCAATCGCAAGTGGCGTGTCCGCCAACTTCCAGCAGCTTCTGTCATCAAGCTCACCGCTGCTGTGTTGTCTATCTTAATCACCTTGGCATATGTATCCTGGCTGAGCTCAAGAATCAGAACATCCACACTATCCCCCATGATCATTCCATCAATTCCCTCTGTCAGCTCACTCTCAGCTGTTGAGAGGGCAGGCGCTCCTTGTCGGCCCGATTTCCACATGATGGGGCTTTTTCCCCATAACACCAATACAGTTCCTTGGGAGTCGAGACCACCTGGTCCGTAGGAGGAATCTGTATAAACCTCAAGGTCCTTACCGCCAGCCTTCAGCTCCAGACCTTCTGCCTTGGTCTTCCTCAAGTATTTCCACACCTGCTTGGCGACCAAGAGGACTTCTTTGGGATTCTTCAGTGTGGCTTGAGACATCTTACTCAATGCAAACATCAAATCTGGACGGCTGCGTGTGACAAGCCACATCAGCTCGCCAGTGGCACGCTGTGCGGCCTTGACGTCTTCTGGGCTTTTCGTGTGGTC